TTAATGCTCTACCTCTTTCTAATGATATTTGCTGTAGATAGTCTGTATACATATAGTTTGTGTAAAATTGAGACACTTTTGCTCTAAGCGTAATTCTGGTCTAGGGACCAGAATATAATTTTAAAGCAGTACAGCCTTGACAACATAAAGTGTGTGACCTGGGTATGTGTTGCAACAGAAAACGCAGGAAAGGGTCACATGGGTCCTGGAGTGGGAACCAAGTAACACATTGGAAAGGGAAGGAGTTAAAAAAAATAAATGGGGGGGGGGTTGTTGAACTCAGGGCTGCTCTTCACCTTTAGTGTCATCAAGGAGATACGTGCCTGACCTGAGAACGTCTCCAGGTCAAGATTGTTTTTTCATTGTCTACTAACTTTGGGTAAAGCTGCTGGTATCATAGTTATGGTGTCAGGGTGTCTTAATGTTGTGATCGTTTATCTTGTTCCGGGCAGCGTAAGTGAGTCATAGGGTTTTAAGGACCAATAAAATCCCATTGAGTTTTCTAGACAGTGCATCTCGAGTCTCTGTGTCTCTCCCTCCCTCCTTGAATTTAACAAACAGGTTACTGTAGAAGTTAGCTGTATGGTAGTGCGAAGGGCAGTGATGAAGATTCCCACTGTTGCGCTATAAGGCATTGGGATTACCTGTCATCGTGTTAATTCTCATTTAGTGGAGAACTCAGAGAGGGAACTTGCATGACACAGAGGCTACCTTGTGCACCATGCACTTTGTCATAACACAGGTATACATTTAGGGGTGAGAACTGCAAGATGACATAGACATTGTTTCCACTGGCAGGTGGGTTGGTAACCAGGGGACATAGATTCAAGATAATTGGCAAAGGAACCAGAGGGGAGATGAGAATTTTTTATTTTTTTAAAAAACAGAGTTGTTACGGTCTGGAATGCACTGACTGAAAGGTTGGTGGAAACCGATTCAATAACCATTTTCAATAGGGAATTGGATAGGTATTTGTAGAGGAAAAATTAGTAGGGATATGGGGAAAAGCGGGGGTGTGGGACCGATTGAGGAACTCTTACAAAGAGTGGGCACAGGCACAGTGGGCTGAATGGACTCCTTTTGCATACTAATATTCTATGATTTTTGTGGTTGAAATCCAGGTATTAATAGTGGCATCTGCAGGCAGAGCCTTCTGTTTAATAGACTAGCCTCCTGTGCTGTAATATTCCTCCTGCAGTCTGTTACCATCCTCCTCACTGTTTACTATGTTATCAAGTTTTGTGTCATCTACAAACTTTACACCTTCCCCCTCACGGAGGCCACACCACCCTGCAACACCTCCCACCACATCCCTCGCCCCAACCGCCGTGGCGGTGGTGTTGCCCTATCCCCCTACTCCTCTGGCTCTTTCTCCTCTTTTGAGCACCTCACCCTCTCCCACCCCTCCCTCCTCTCACTTAAAATCCTCCTCCTCTACCGGCCCCCTAAAATTTCTCCCACCTTTATCTCTGATATTTCGACACTTCTCACATCTCTCTGCCTCTGCTCCGATCGCCTCATCATCCTGGGCGACTTTAACCTGCACTTCACCCCCTCCTGCTCAATCTCCTCAGATTTCTCTTCCCTGCTCTCCTCGCTCAACCTCTCCCTCCACATCAACTCCCCCACTCACAGTCACGGCCACCCACTCGACTTGGTGATCACCCGGGGCCTCAGTGTCTCGGATGTCACTATCACCGACAAGGCCGTTCCGACCACCACTTCATCTCCTTCACCACCTCCACCCCCCTCCCCACCTCCACCAGACCCACCACCATCTTCTACCGCCCCTGGAAGAAGTTACCCCCTCAATCCCTAACCGCTGCCTTGGGAGTCCTCTGAACTCCTCTTCCTCTGGCCTTCAACCCTCACTGACCCCTCTTCTGCTCTCATCCTCCTCCACAACACCCTCTCCTCCACACTTGACACTCCCGTACTGTCTCCTACTCTCGCTCCTCACCCTGGTTCACCACCCACCTCCGCTCACTGAAGAGCCAGGTGCGGGCCGCTGAACGCACCTGGGTCAAATCTGGCCTAACGGTCCACCGACAAATCTGGCTGGACCTCCTCAAAATCTACCGCTCCACTCTAGCCTCGGCCAAATCGTCCTTCTACTCCAGGATAATCCTGGAGGCGAAGAACAACCCCAGGCTACTGTTCTCTACCACATCCCAACTCCTCCGTCCCCCCCGCCACCCCGCGCAGGTCATCTCCTCCAACCTTCACTGCGAGGAGATGCTGGATTTCCTTGAATCCAAAATCAAGGGAATTCGCTCCGCGGTCACTTCCCCTCCAACATCCACCAACCCCCCACCCCTTCCCTCCCACACTCCGACTCCTACCCATCCTCCCCTACACACTTTCGTACCCGTTTCCCCACCCTCTGTCACCAAACTCATCCTATCCCTGAAACCCACCACCTGCTCCCTTGACCCCATCCCCACTCCACTCCTTATCTCCCAGCTCCACCTCCTTGCCCCACATATCACAGACATCGTCAACCTGTCCCTCTCCTCTGGCTCTGTTCCCATTCCCTTAAAAACTGCCACCATCACTCCCACCTTGAAAAAACCCTCCCTTGATGCATCGCAGCTATCAAGCTACCGGCCCATCTCCAACCTCCCCTTCCTGTCCAAGGTCCTGGAACGAGTTGTCGCCTCCCAGCTGCGCTCTTTCCTCTCCACCCATTCATTATTCGAACCCCTTCAGTCAGGTTTCCGTGCTGCCCATAGCACAGAAACTGCCCTGGTCAAGGTCACCAATGACATCCTGACCATCTGTGACCAGGGCTCCCTCTGCCTCCTCGTCCTATCGGCAGCATTCGATATGGTCGACCACGCTATCCTCCTCCACCACTTGTCCTCCCACCTAAACCTTCAAGGCCCTGTCCTTGAGTGGTTTAGGTCGTACCTCTCCCACCGTCTTCACTTTGTCTCCACAAATGGTTTTTCCTCCGGCCTCCGCACTGTCTCGTGCGGTGTCCCTCAGGGCTCTGTCCTCGGTCCCCTCCTCTTCACCCTCTACATGCTCCCCCTTGGTGACATCATCCGCAGACATGGGGTTAACTTCCACATGTATGCGGATGACACCCAACTCTACCTTTCCTCCTCTACCCTCAACTCCACGACCACCGATGTCCTGACAGCCTGCCTGTCCGACATCGAGTCCTGGAAGAGAGATAACTTTCTTCAGCTCAACGTGCGCAAAACTGAGGCCCTCCTGATTGGCTCGCGTCAGCGCCTCCGCACCTCAGGCGCTGACAGCATCAGCATCCAAGGCTGCACTCTCCACCTCTCAAAGCCAGTCAGGAACCTCGGTGTTCTGTTCGACCCTGAGCTGTCCTTTCTCCCTCATATCCGCACCACAACTGGCACCGCCTTCCATCACCTCCGGAACATCGCCAGACTACGGCACTACCTCACCCCTCACGCTGCTGAAACTCTGGTCCATGCCTTTATCACCTCAAGGCTGGACTATGGGAACTCTCTCCTCGCCGGCCTTCCCGCCACCTCCCTCCACAAGCTGCAGGTCATTCAGAACTCTGCAGCTCATGTACTGTCCCGCTCCAGGCTTTGGGACCACATCACTCCCACCCTCGCTCGCCTCCACTGGCTCCCCACCCCCCAGAGGATCGAATTCAAGATCCTCATCCTCACCTACAAGGCCATTCACGGTCTTGCTCCCTCCTACCTCTCTGATCTACTATCCCCCTACCTACCGTGCCTTCAGCTCCCCTCTCGACTCTCTACCCCCTCCTCGCTCCCTCCCTTCCCCTCACCCTGACCATTTCCCCCCCTGCTCGGGTCCCGACCCAACTGTACAGCGCCTTGGGACGTCCTCCTGACGTGAAAGGCGCTCAATAAATGGAATCTTGTTGTTGTTTAATATTTTGCTCTCTATACCCAAGACCAAATCATTTACATATATCAAATAGAGCAGTGGACCTTATACTGACCACTGAGGGACACCACTGTATACCTCCCTCCAGTCTGAAAAACAACCATTCACCACTACGCTCTGCTTTTTGTCTCCCAGCAAATTTTGTATCCATGCTGACTCTGTCCCTTTTATCCCAAGGGCTTAAATTTTGCTAACTAGTCTATTATGTGGCACCTTATCAAACGCCTTCTGAAAGTGCAAATACACTACATCAACTACACAACCTTCATCAATTCTCCGTTATATCATCAAACATCTCAGACGGGATGGGATACATCCTAGGTCGTTGCAAAATAAAATTGCTGATGTTCATTTATCGGTTGTCAAATACCTACATTTCCCATGCAATCAGACAAAAAATAGCTTCCAGATGTAAGCATGTTCAAATTTACAAAAAAAATGGTTTGGTGCAAAAAAAATCAAAAACACTTGTCCTTTATGCTTAAAGCCTCTTAAATGAGAATTTAGTACAGTAGCTGGATACAGATTTAGGCCAATTTCATCTAGTTTGAATGTGGTGTGCCCTGGCCCACTTAGTTGCACTCCTAGCATTTGCTTCAAAATATTCACTGTCAAACTAGGTCTCTGTAAGCATTTTAGAAGAATGTCTACACATTTGAAAATCGTTGAAACACATCCATATCTAAAAGCTGCTTAAAATCTCACAAGAAATTAAATAAAGTAATATTCAGCTACAGTGGGGCATTAATCCACAGTCAACAGCATTGAATTCACTGATGTCGCAGCATGGAAAACCATCCAAATTCACGCAACAGATCAAAATTGCATTATACTGATGAGACACTGGAAAAGATCAACAACTTGGATTTATATAGCGCCCTCCACGCTGGACGGCATCTCAGAGCGCTTCACAGTAACGGATCCCGGGACCGAGCCAGGGGGAGGGGTGGGAAGATGACCAAAGGCGCGGTCGAAAAGAAAGGTCTTCAGTAGAGACCTGAAAATGGGAAGGGAGGGAGCGAGAAAGGCAGTTCCAGAGCCTCGGGGCATAGATCAAAGTTGGATAGCTAACCATTCATTAGTTATTAAGTTCATTTTACCTGTGACCTTTGCCTTGAAAGGACTACCTAAAATATGGTGAGGGCCACCATATTTAATGCCAATTTGATAGTCTCCTGGTGCCATTGGTGTGTACAGAACCTTGTAGCCTTCAGAGCACTCTTGGCAGTCCATCTTCACCTTAGATGGTCCTTCGATTGCAACAGCAAGTGATCCAGGACTTGCATTTGTTGTTTTAACAGTAAATTCAGACTGGGTACCTGCAACCAGATGTGAAAATGCAGCTCAGTTTGCACATTCCAAGAAAGAAACCCATTAAAACATTAAAGCTGACAAGTGACTTGCCCATGTTAACTAGATGCTCAAGCTTGTTCAAATGGGCATAACATTTATTTCAGGCGGCAGTGGGGCGGGGGGGGGGGGGGTTAGAAACAAGAGCATCTAGTATCAGTTCACATTGTAGATGAATTCTGGAACATGGGAGGGAAAGAAAAATCATGACCCTGGAACCTACCATTTTGTGACAAGGTGCTCACTTGCAGGAGGTTTCTGTGTTAAACTGGATAAATAATCTTTTATAATTACAAAGCAGCCTTTGTGTTTAATAATTGCAATTCCCTGGGAACAGGGGAGCAAAAAGCCTCAACTATTCAGTCTCTTCTTTCTCCAAGGAAGTATTCTCCATCACAAGCAGTTGATAAACTATCCCAATAAGTGTATGCAAATCAACTATCTCCCCAGGCAACTGTTAATACTATACAAAGGCCATTTGTAAAAGCTTGAACTGTCTAGGAAATCGAGTCAAACCATCTATGATTTAATGTCGGTGAAAGACAAATTATTTGGAAGCTTGAAATGAAAAGTGACCTTAGTCCCACAAAAATGTACATTTATTCAGTACAGACCAGGGTAAATGATGGATATTGCTAAACAATTGTTTTTCATACTATTTATAACTCTGCAATTGTAAGTCATTCAATAAACAAGGTTGAACTTGTCAGTGTTGTCAGATATGTAACCTTGTAACCATGCAAGAGCTTTTTCAACAAATGTAACTTTAGTTAATCACCCTATGCTGACTGGTGATAAGAGCTGGACCACAAATCATTCAATTCAAACCATTTGGTCATGGTTGATAATCTTTATATGAACGTCACATGAGGGTGAATACTTATATACTGTATGTGAAATGCATCACTTACATACTATTCATTCTGAATACATCAATGCAGCTTTTGCATAAACACCATAATTAAGAGCCAAATTTGTACCAAAGTTTAGATCAGTACATTACTTATTTAGAGTGAAAATTGGAAAGGGGAGAAATAAATGAAAGGTTATAATAATAATCCTTGTAGTCGATATAGCGCCTTATCACGTCTTTGAGACCTCTCAAAACTCTTCATAGAATCCCCCTTAAAGTGAATTAACTATACATTTTGTGGGCGAAACACAGCAGCCAATTACGGACAACAGTGTCCCACAAACAATCGTGGATTGAGTGACCAAATCATTATTTTTTCAAATTTATTCTTAAGGGATTATTACCCCCGGAAAAGCTATCCACCAATTGACTAACAACCGGGTTCCTACTTACTGCTAGGTAAACAGAGGCGGGTGGTGTAAGGAAACTTGCCCAATGTTTCGCCCTGCCCAGGAATTGAACCCAGATCCTCTCACTTGCGTGGCGAATGGTCTAACCACTAAACTACATGTGTCTTGTCCTATAAAGAAAGAAGGTCTGTCTGGATTTTCACCTTGACTGAATCATATGATTCAGTTTCAATCCTGCAAAACTGGCTCTGCCAAGCTCCTTAGATATTTAAAATACAGATCAACCCTGCCATAACAGCCTCCCTCCCCTAAGGTCAGTTGAATGGGGATTTTCAGAGCACTGGCCTACTCTGACACATTCAAATCAGAAATTACGTTCTTATGCCACACAGTTTCCGGTGCTAATACAGAGGCCCAGATGACAGTCATAACAATTGTCCTTATGGATTGGGCAACAGAATAAAAATATACTGTATCTCAAAAACACTGAACGACAATGAAAACAAATTGCCTTAGTTACTCCCAATATCAACAACAACAAAATTTCATTTGTAAAGCGCTTTTCACATCGGGAGGACGTCCCAAGGCGCTGGACAGACAGTGTTTCAGACCCAAGCTGGGGGTCAGGATTGGGGAGGGGAAAAAGCAGGGTGATCGAAAGTACAGTCAAAGAGGTGGGTCTTGAAGAGGGCAAGGGAGAGAGCGAGGCGAAGTGACCGCCAAATGGAGGTCCAGGGGCTGGGGCCAGAGTGGCAGAAGGCCCGCCCGCCAATGGTGGGGCAGCCTAGGCAGGGGACGTGAAGCAGGCCGGAGCCCGCTGAGCAGAGGGAGCAGGCAGCTTGGTAGGGAGATAGGAGGTCGCAGAGGTTGTGTGGAGCAAGGCCATGGAGGGCTTTGAATGTGAGGACCAGGATCTTGAACTGTATCCTCTGCGTGATAGAAACCCTAAGTGGAGTCGGGCAAGGATGTGGGTCATAGAGCCTGGTCCAGGAGAGGACACGGGCTGCAGAGGTCTGGATGATCTGCAGCCTATTGAGGGAGAAGTTGGAGGGGCTGACAAGCAAGGAGTTTTCTTAGTCGATCCTAGACGTTATGAATGTGTGTATGAGGTTTTCAGCAGCCTGCGGTGTGAGACAGTGGCAGACCTAGGCGATGTTGTAGGGTGGGGAAAGGCAGAGCCGGTCATGGCACAGATGTGGGGTAGAAAGGATAGTTGAGGGTCAAACAAGATGCCAAGGTTCTGCCTATCATAAAAGCATCAGCATTTCATACCTGTGGTGCCTTTTTCCAGACCTATTCCATAGGCTGAAACAAGGCCTGGTTCTCCAGTCTGCCCAGGTTCCCCAACGCGAACCTTGAATGGACTGCCAGTGATATGACTGCCATTAAACTTGACGTCAATAGTGTGAATACCATTCTCGTGAGGGATGAAACGAATGGCATACTTCTCTGTAAACAAATCAGTAACACTTGGAATGAAAACTGTGAACACGTTTCTTCCATACAACGTATGGCAAATTCCAGTACTTGGGAGCAAAGTCAAAGTCAAATAGAGCAAAAATGGAATAGAAAAACAAATTCAGTTAAGATACTTTATCAGAATCTTGACTGCATGGTGCAGTTTACAATTCTTCAAACCAAAATCTATTTGAATAATGAACCTTAATTTTATTCAGTGTTTAATGCCAGTTAAAAATAAGTTTCCAGAATTATAGGCTCATGAGACAAACATAATAATAATCCTTTCATTTGATAGCGCCTTATCATGTCTATGAGATGTCTCAAACGCTTCACAGAATATATTGTAAAGCGCATTGATTGCATCTTTTGTGGGTGGAACATGGCAGCTAATTGCGCACAGCAGTATCCCACAAACAGTCATGAATTGAATGACCAAATTATTATCATTTGTTTTTGGATGGGATTATTACCCCTGGAAAAGCGATCCGCTAATCAACCAACAACCAGGATCGTACTTACTGCTAGATAACCAGAAGGGTGTGGAGTAAGGAAACTTGCCCAACATTTCACCCTGCCCGGGAATCAAACCCAGGTCCTCTCGCTTGTGAGGCGAGTGCTCTAACCAATAGGGTACATGACTCCATTGATTGTAAGCAGAAAATAAATGCTTTGTTATATTGCCTCTCCTGGCCACTGATTATTGTGTAGATAGACTTTGAAACGAGCAAGAAAATTATTTAATAATAGTTCTTGCATTTGATATAGCACCTCAACACTTCTTCGAGATGTCTAATAGCACTTCACAGAATATAACAACAAACATTTGTATAGTACCTTTCACGTCAGAAAGATATACTGTAAAGTGAATTGATTGAATACTTTGTGGATGAAACGCAGCAGGCAATTGTGCACAGTAATGTTCCACAAACAGTCATGGATTGTGTGACCGATTTATTATTTTTTGAAGTAATTATTATTCCTGGAAAAGCAATCCGCCAATCGACTAACAAACGGGTTCCTATTTACTGCTAGGTAAACAGGCATGTGGAGTAAGGAAACTTGCCCAACATTTCGCCCTGCCGAAAATCGAACCTCGCTTACAAGGCGAGTGCTCCAACCACCTATCTACAGAACTTATTGATGGTTCAACTCAGATCACATTTAATTTTTGTCAGTTGAAAAGGCTCAAGTTTTGGTGTCAAGCATTTTTGCTACATTGCACATTAACATGACCTTTGGTAATCGCCTTTAAGTTCCTCCATGGCCTTGCCACTTCCTACCTTAGTGACCTGCTAACCCCTTATCAACCTCTCCGATCCCTCCGCTCAGCCTGCTCCACCATTGGCGATCGGACCATCAGCCTCTCTGCCCCCACCCTTTGGAAATCCACCCCACATTCCCTTTGCCTCGCTCCCTCCCTTGCCTCCTTCAAGGCATGTCTCAAAATCCTCCGACTGTACCTTCGGCCACTTCCCTGACCTCACCCTCACTGATGCCAACCAAGCCCCTACCCAGCTCGAGTCCAAATCCCTGACTGTCCAGTGCCTTGGGACATCCTCCCGACGTGAAAGGAGCTATACAAATGTAATTTTGTAATTAGTGATTATAAAGGTTTGTCCCTTTATAGGGAACTCCCTACCTTGCTCAATTTCTGATACGTAGGTTTCTTCCACTGCTCCAGAAGGGCTGTGAACTTTGGCATCAAGTAAACCCTTAGCACCATTCAATCTCACAGCAAAGGAAACTGGCTGATTAAGTTTTAACCCTGACTCCTGGAGATTGAATAGCAAACACTTTAATACACATTTTCAGAACATCAACAATCCCCAATAGTGTCAAGTGAGAAGCCATGAACATCAAATTCATATCAGTGCAGCCATATTCGTTGCTATTTCAGCTTCATCCATGGCTGCTGAAAAAGGCAATTTTGTGGCACCGAAAACAGTGAAATTAGTGATAAATCTACCCACCAGCCAGGCTAGAAAATAAGTTTGACCTTCAGAAGATAGTATATAGGTGAACCATCTATACTCATTTCAAGGACATAAGAGAGTAGATCGGGGCAGAAGAAAATTCAAAAGATGCCTTAGGCAAAACTAAACAAGCGCCTGGCTTGAGACCGCACAAGAGAAAACTTGTCACTGAAATTGAGCTGTGCAGTTGTAACACATGTTCTGGTGGGTTCCATTGTGGCAATTAAAAAAGTTAGCCAAGCTCATCAGCTTGAGATTCACCTTCTACCCCTGAATGGATCATGACGTGCCTTGAAGCAGTTAGATTTTTTTAAATTTAGAAAGGATATACAACACTTCTCACAAGACACAAGCCTGATGGCATTAATGAAAACTTTGCAGCTAAACAAGAGTCCATGATCTGTTAGTGCTGATTAAGATTTCTAAAATGACTACATAAAAAAATTTGATGTGCAGGTGAAACCGTTGAAAGTGCAATGCTGTTAGGTTTCCAATTGCCAAGAATTTGAGAACTCAGGCACAAAGTCAGTGGCACAGATCCAGGTTTAAGTGTTCAGTCTCAACTTGTGCCTGGTATCCAACACAGGACTATTTCCTAATGTTCCTATTTCCACTTTAACTGAATCAGTTCCCTAAAGTATTAGGGAAAAAATTAGACACTATTCTTCTCCCTCTCTCCAGCAGTATTAATGCTACAGAAACTGGAGGGGGCGGGGGTGGTGAATAAGAGAAAGGGTATAATTTCAGTTAGTCAATCTTGTCCCAACATGAACTTTCTAAAGGATCACATGACAAGCAGGAACAAAAATTCAGGCTGGTTTTTCCTCCATAGTCTCAGTCATTCCAGCCACCTCCCGATCAGTAAACTCAGGCTGGGTCAAACCTGGAACATTATGTTATGGGTCTGCATGGCTTCGTTTCGCACCAAGCAGTGATTTCACCCCTGAATCATTAGAGTAGCTCATTGCCATTTAACTACAGGAGAGAACCCTGATTCATTTCAAGCTTGATTAGATGCAATAAAATTTGTACAATTTGAATTTACATTACCTTCCGCAAAACTACTGCTAAAGACTGAAGAGGGAGATCATCTATCGTGTTTGGTGCTCTGCTTAAAAATGCAAATAGAAACCTACAGATACAAAATTCAGAAAGGGACAAAGGTTGGAGCACTCTCCCTCTTCACTCTTTAGCTTGGTGATTAATTTGCATTATGCAGATATCCTGTTAAAAGAGCTTTTAAATGAGACACAAGGAAAACATCCAATTTCACAGTGACAAGCTGATGCTCCCCTTCCTACACAAGTCAAAGGTCACAATTTGGGGATGCTTCCAGACGTGGGTTGGTATTGGGAGAAAAATCAGGACCCAGCAAGGGTGCACAGAGCCAAACTGCTCTACACCACCAGTCTGCATCGAACTGTTGTGTGGAGAGTAGGGTGTTTTTTTTTCAAAAAGGAAAATGGGAGTGACCCCAACATCTAAACTTAATAGTCTGAAGTCCAAAAGGCATTTTGCACAATTCACTTTTACTCACCCAGCCCCTGAATAACCCTAAAGTTTTGAACTCTTCAGCCAATCTGAACCTCTCCTTTTGTTCCTGTTTACTTCCAGGTTTGGACTTGAAGGATTGTGAGTGAACAGGGTTAGTCTTTTGGCAACGTTTGTACTCTCTGTACAGTCTGCTCTAAAAGCCATTGTGGTCATTTGAGGTGTGGGAGCAGTGAGATCTGCTACTGTGCAAACTTTGAATGTAAGATGGTGAGGAAGAGAGCTCTAATGTAGATGTTTGATGAGTCATCACGTTTTTCAATGGTAAAGATAACCTACTGCGAAAGAAATAATGGCAACAATCCTATGATTTAATCTTCTAAGGTCCTAAAGTTTGACAAATGTTAAAAACAGACTTCCCTTTAAAATACTAATGTAACTACAATTTGAAAAGAGTTGGTTTGGAACATCCTGACTTGATCAGAGACCTGACTGATCCTTCACAATTTCCTATCCTTTTACCCAAATCTCTCAACATCCAAGTAGTTCTACATGCGTTGAGCTGAAAAATGAATGAACAAAACAGCTATCTGACCAATAAGCAAATAATAATGGAAGCTGATCTCTTAGTAAACAAAATGGCTAATCTAAAATCAGTTCCGATTAAGGGCAATACTAAATTAACTGCTCCTTTGCAGCATGAATTGTAAACAAAGAGAAGGTGATTTTCACATAGCTATCACTTACATTATCCAGAGAATTATACTGGACTTATAAAAATGCCTTTGAGAAAACATACAAGTACTGCAATTAACACAGGCCCTGGCTTATTTGTGGAATGGTTTGGGAATCTAAACGTGTTAGAATGGAGTAGTATTCTGTACACATTTTTCCAAACATTCAAGACTAATTTCATGCCTATCACCATATTTAAGCACCAGGGAATCCAATAGCTTGGGTTTAAGTTAGTTAATGTAAGGGCTCTCTGGGCAAGATGCACTTCCATGTGGAGCATTTTGCCCTTGATGTGACCTCTGAATGTGCAGTAGGGGATCCAAACAGCCAGCAAGTGATCAGATATTTCCTTATGTCTCACCTGAAGGCTAGCAACAGTAAGTCTGCGTGCGTCATCTGATGAAGTAGTGATGGGGACAAGGAAGGGGCTGCCAGGGATGTGCTCATCGTTGAATTTGATCGACACATCATAGTTACCTGAAACAAAAAACACAAGACACACAAGAATTAATGATGCAAATCAATTTTGTTCAAGTGTAGCATATAATCACAGCTCATTACATCTAATGTTAGTTCTTAGAAGAAAGCAGAACTTGCTTACATCAATATAGCACCCTTCACGTGGGGTAGCGTCCGGAGCTTAACCTTGACGGAATCTGACCAGGTGGAGAGGGGGGGGGGGGGGAGGTGACCATAAGCATGATTAAAAAGGTCTTTAGGCGGGATTTGAAGGTGGGGAGGGGGCAAGGTGGAGGGATTGAGAGAGAAAGTTACAGAGTTTCGTGACGTAGTGACTGAAGGCGTGGCCACCAATGGTGAAGAGGACGACGATGGACAAACAGGAGGATGGAGCCAGCTGAGCGGAGGCAGCGGGTGGTGGAGTAGGGAGTAAGCAGATCGGTTAGGTAGGGAGGTGCATGAAGGGATTTGAAAACGAGAGGATCTTGAAATCAATCCGTTCGGTAATTGTGAGCGAGTGGAGCAAGGACTGGTGTGATGGGGGTATGGAGTTTTGTGCGGGTGAGTATCCGAGTGGCGGAGTTTTTAAATAATTGAATTTTGCGTTTGGTGGAGTTGGGAAGACCAGTGAGAGGGGCATGGGAATAGTGCAGTCAGGAAGCGAGGGATTCAGCTGCATTGTTTCAAAGCGAATAGTAAACAGGAGTTTAATGTCAGATTTGACTACCAGATCACATTCATACTCAATTTGGTTTGATAAAGAATTGCAGCAGACAGATGGAAGGAGAAGCCCAGTTAGTTTCTTTCATTGTCCTTTACTCAGCAGGTTCCATGTCCCCCGACCTGCCCCACCATCGGCTGTCTGGCCTTCAGACTTTTCACCCCCACTTTTTGGAACTCCATCCACAATTCCTTTGCCTTGCTCCCTCTCTTGCCTTCATCAAGGCCCGTCTCAAGACCCTACTCTTCAATGGCGCCTTCGCCTACCCTCCCTGTGCTATACCATTCCTGATCCCAACCCTCAGCTCAGGTCCAAATCCTTGACTGTCCAGCCTTGGGAATTTCTCCCGATGTGAAAGACACTATAAAATGTAATTTTTTTGTTGTGGTGTATTGGACATCAATGCTGGTTAACTGGGGGAAAACATTCAATTAGTTTTTCAATTACATTCTAGATTGCACATCATGTATGTCAGCAAACATGTCAAGAATCAGCAAGCTGGAAAATAGCTCAATGTTGTGGTGTGTACTGTTATACAGGCAAGTCTATACAAGTATGGCTTCTTTCCATGCTCTCATGCTGAAATATTTGCATTTGATACAGCACCTTAACCACATCGTGAAGACATTGCCAAATAGATCAACAAGACAGACACAGGTTAGGTCGTGAGAGACACACCAACTTTGGGAGGGAGGGGGAGACAGAGCGAGCTGGCACAGAGGTGATTGGAACATACTCATAGAAAATAAATAAAATAACAATTGGTCACTCAATCTACGACTGTTTGTGGGACACTGCTGTGCGCAATTGGCTGCCACATTTTGCCCTCAAATATACAATCAATTCACTTTACAGTATATTCTGTGAAGCACTTTGAGACGTCTAGAAGACATGAAACGTGCTATATTAAATGCAAGGATTATCATATCAAAGTGTGTCACTACTATGAAATTGAGCGATTTGTAGACAAATAATGTCAGTGAATTCGCATACAGAAACATCCCACAGCAAAACACTCTGGGACGCTACCCTGCATGAGGGGCGCTATATAAATGCAAGTTGTAATAGTAGTAGCAGCCATGAAGTGACCAATTTTATCTGGCGAATTGTTGGCCAGGATACTGGGAGAAATTGTAGCATGGAGTCCTGTTGCTCAATGGTTAGAGCACTCGCCTCGCAAGCGAGAGACCTGGGTTCGTTTCCTGGCAGGGCGAAACCTTGGGCAAATTTCCTTACTCCACATGCCTGATAATAATCCCAAGAAAAATAAATAGGTTACTTCAATCCACGACTGTTTGTGGGACACTGCTGAGTGCAATTGGCTGCCCCATTTCTCCCACAAATATACAGTCAATTCACTTTACAGTATAGTCTGTGAAGCACTTTGAGACGTCTAGAAGACACGGAAAGCACTATCTCAAATGCAAGGATTATTATTTATATTATATAAACTCCACTCTAAGTAGCACCATAGGATCTTTCATATCTACTGCCTACTCAGGTGGACATTGAAGTGTCATGCACTACACTCTACCTTAAAATAAATAAGAGCACTCCGCGCATGAAGATTCTATATAAATGCAAGTTGTTGTTGTAGAGTACATGCAGTTGACCAGCAAGTCTTTAAATGGAAAGGAAATTTACTGAAAAATTAAGTAGAGAAATAAATATACAAGAATTTGAAAGGTTGTAGTCTAGTCATTGCCATTGGCAAATAATCAAAGCCTTTTTAAATTTTAAAAACACAACTCCTCCTAGCCTGGTTTGCTCACATCAACGCATCTAGGTTTTAAGAACTTTATTGGTTAAGGAAAATATAGGCTGGCACAAATAACTTGGTGACAGTCACAAGTTTCTTATGTTAATAACATTGATTCTTTGTTGATCATTGTAAGATGAAGATCCATAAAGATATAATTTACCACCAGTTGGCATCAAGAAATGTTAGCAACCTCTGTATTATTAGTGACGATGACAACTACAAGTTATGATGAACTCACCAGGTTCTTGTGCGGTGTAAGACACACCACAAGATCCATCCTTCCGGTCTTCGAATGAGATGTCTGCTCTGCTGGGTCCTTCTACTGCTATAGAAAGGCCACCCGCACCAGCTTCCCGGGTCCAGATACTGAACTCAGCTATTGGTGAAAATGTTTAATTACTCTCTGCACCATCAGCAAAATACTAAGTCTAAACAAGTTTCACAACATTCAAAAGGATGCAAGGTAAAATCCATCTATACATGCAATAAGGTTATCATAACTTCTATGAGTTCAATTTAAAAAAAAATTAATAACACATGATCCCATTAGTGTTCCTTAATGGAGTAGATCCGGCCTCCACACAACACCATACCTTGGCGATGGTGGAGTCAGAAGTCAGCTTAGGGGAATTCCAGGATTCATCTGAAAGGAAAGCCAGTTTGTGGCATTCAGATTTTTCACAAGTCAGTTTGCTATATGGCACTGGCCAGATATCTCAAGTCTTTCTGGTCTCATACATTGACAGATAAAATTCAGCTCAGTGTAGGTCTAAAACAAGTTTCACAAAATTCAAAAGGATGCAAGGCAAAATCCAAATTGCAGCCCAATTCAACTACATATCCTGTAGGGTCAACAGCATTCATATAAAATTGTTAAGGCAACAAATTGATAAAATTGCACCTCAACAGAAATCAAGCTGAAGGCAAAAGGCTCTCAAAACTTTGGGCCTTAATTGAGATTTACCTATGGCTCCTGCTTCTCCACGTTCGAGACCTGGGCCACCAGCTCGCACCTTGTGGGCTCCTCCGTCACCTAGTGGGCCAACTGTAAACTGGAATGGACTGCCTGGTACATGCTGATTTCTGTATTTCACGCTAACTGTGTGCACACCCATCTCATGGGGCACAAACCGGATGCAGTAGGTATGATTTTCACCTTCAACAATCTCTGCATCGTCAATCATTCCAGAAGGACTGGTTACTTGAGCAGACATGTCACTGATGTCGATTTCTAAAGCAGAACAGTTCACATTAGTCAGGATTTATATTTTGTGCAATAAGTAGATTCAAAAATCGATGGCAGCAGGGGGAAAGAAAGTATAAAGGAGACCAATTTTTACTTCAAACCCATAATGAGATATTGGCCGAATTTTGCACGTGGAACGTCGGTGTCCAAGGAAATTGAAAGCACCAGTTGCATTCGAGGCTAAACCTTAAAGCTCAAGCTTGGCTCTGGCTCTTCCCCCCATATAAGTCACTAAGCTCAGAGGTGTTCACTTAACAGAACAGGGAAAGGAATACTTAAACACTTAATGACAATATGAAATCTGGTTTAGTATGTAGAGGCAAAGTGGCGAATTAGCATCTAGAAATGGAGTAAGTGGAACGGGTGCACTGAAATTCTAAAGTTGAATCAGGTTGAACTCCATTGCATTGCTAATGAATTAACTGTGGTACAACAGTCAACTCAAATCAATTTTGTACAGCCATGAATACACTTAGCTTGTTATATGCCATGACCTGCTCTGCCTTCCCCCACCTCTGCAACATCGCCCAGCTCCGCCACGGCCTCATTCCTCAGGCCGCTGAAACCCTCATCCATACGTTCATCAGATTTAGGCTCGACAACGCCAATTCCCTGCTTGTCAGTTTTCCCAACTCTTCCCTCCACAAACTGCAGATCTTCCAGAACTCTGCAGCTCATGTCCTCTCCCAGACCAGGCTTTGTGACCCTATCACCCCCATCCTCGTGCAGTTCCACTGGCTCCCCATGCCCCAGAGGCTAAGAGTTCAAAATCCTTGTCCTCGCTTTCAAGGCCATCCATGCTCCCTCCACTCAGCAGGCTGCGACTTGCTCCACATCCCCCACCTAACTCACTCCACCATCGGCGGTCGGGCTTCAGCCTCTCTGCCCCCTCTTTGGAAGTCCATCCCACATTCCCTTCGACTCGCTCTCTCGACTCCTTCAAGGCACATCGCAAGACTCTCCTATTCAACCATGCCTTCGGCCATCCTCCTACCCTCCCTGATCCCAAACCCCAGCTCAGGTCCAAATCCCTGACTGTCCAGTGTGTTGCGATGTCCTCCTGATGTGAAAGACGCTATACAAATGTAATTTAGTATTGTAATGCTGTGGCTGTACTGCTTCAAAGCCAGTATAGCAATATGGAACAGGAAGCTGGTTTGTTTTATTTAGAGAATGCAATGTTAACAATGCTCCATTAATGTTCTGAACAACCTTTGCCACAACATGATCTCATAATTTTTTTAAAAAATGCTCTCATCACCTGGATATAATGCAATTGACAGATTCAGTTTAACAAGTGTAAATGTATTTTCAAATACTTGCAATGCTGAAATTCCAACAATGCTTCTCAGGGCACTAGTAGTCCAGTTAAAAAAAAATCTGGACAATTTCAGAGTAGATCTTAGGGAATCTTTGTACGATTTTAGGGAACATGCATAATGTGCAAGAAGAGAACATTCTTGGGTTCATGCAACTGCCAGAGACAAAAAAACATGCTTAGTAATTTAAAATTAGCACATTCTGCCAACCTCAGGCTCCACATGCCCAGTGCTGAAACGCACCATCCGGCCTTAAAGATCCTGCACTGAACAGTTTGCATTCCTCCCGGCCAAGGAGGCCAAACAGAGACTGGATAGGCTGGCTTTGAACACTAGGTTGTTCCACAAACAGATGCTGTTTATACTTTCCAAACCGATTCAAGCGAATCTCCATACACTCAGAACGCAAAAAAGCAAAGCTTGTCTGAAACTCTGGGCTCCCGAGGTGCTCCGGAGCCATCGTTAGCTGGAACCAAGTCACTGAGAGAAAGAACAGTAAGAGGAAAGAGAGGAAACAAGAGTTGGAGTCTAGAGCAAAGAAAAATCAATCTTCTGTGGTAAATATCAGCAATTCATTTTCCTAGATTTATATTATAGCAATTAACATTTAATAGGCTACTTGTAGAAATACAAAGTGAAGTGGAAAAAAATGCTGGAAATCTAAGATGCAGAAAGAATCAGAAAGCTACAGTGGGCGACAGCACAGTTAACATTGGCAGCCATCAATTGATGCCAACATGAATCATTAACCCATTTTACAATGAGCTGTGTACTGATCTGGTGATTTATAGCACTGGTGTTCCATTTCAATAATCTTTCACTAGTCCTACACAGGTTATAAGGTTAAAATAAAATCTACATTCAGATAATTTTTTTTAGGCCTTCAGTTCTGGAGTTCCGGCACATGCTACCTGTGCACAACAAACATCAAGTCTTGGAGACATCTCAAAGCGCTTCACAAAAATGTGTAGTGACTGTATATTTTGTGGGCGAAAACGTATGTTACAGACTATCCCTTGACTGAATTGCCAGAAAATAATTCAGGAAAACAGAAAACAGTTTGGCTGAATGGGTAGCACCGTCTCTGGGTGTCATCCTTTCAAATAAAATCTTAAAACTGAGGTGGCAAATGTCAATCCCCATCTATAAGTTGTGATGGAAATTAAAGATTTTATGGCAACATTTTTCATCCCAAGTTCCCTTGCTTTCATCAAAAATAATCCATGCATTTGATGATGGATCAAATAAAATGAATTTTAGCGCTTTAAGCATCTTGTCTGAAAACTCATTTAATGATTTATTTGCAACAATTAAAAAACACTGAAAATAATCCATTCATCTCAATGCCATTTGTGGGATGTTGCTACCAGTGCCATATTTACCTACACAACAAAGAAACACATTGTAAAAGATATTTCAGATTGAATGAGGCTCTATTACCAAGTACACGATTATAAAAGTAAACAAGTCAGGCTTTGTATCACCAGCAGTCTTCAAAGGGTTAAACTAAGTTATGGAAACTATTAAAGCAAATGATGTCCTTTTATTAAAAGGTTACATCAATTTACTCCAAGGAATCAGCGAAAAGAAAACAGTTCAACATTCCAGTTGAACACAAGCAGAAGGGACAAAACAAATTTAAAACATGTAAAAATGAGCTCTTTGTGACCAGAGACTTGAAAGAGCTGCAGCAGCTTCTCGTCTGATAACTCGTTTGTTTTTATTTGTCACAGGATTACTTTTAATGGTGTCATTTTATACAGTGAAAGCTGAACCACCTCATTGAAAATACAATTGTTTTAATAAGGTTTTTTTNGCTTGGAAAAAACAATTCAATCAACTTTGCCTTTTCATCATACTTTGCTTTTCAGATTTACCTGGAATCTTCAAGTTTAGGTCACAGATACTTCCAACAGTTGCTACTGATGCAGCCCTTCGTCTACGAGTAATGCTTTCCTTTATTCGTCCGTCACCTGTTACTTTCACTGTAAATGGACTTCCTGCAAGTATTATGGACAGATATTAACACTGTATTTGTAACTTTGATTTGATCTTAAAAGTAGGTTTTAAAAAACACTGTAGAATTAACAACCTGAAGAAAGTCCAATAATGCAATAAAATACTCATGCAAACTTCAAGCCTGGCATAAGGCTAGTTTTGTGAAATGGGCAAGTTAGTGCAATGGCTATGAACTGCAGAAACTCCATTTTTGTCAAAAATCCTCATAAAAATCCAAACTGAGGCGAGAGTTAATGTCTTGTTTGAAATCAAGAGAACAAGTGATTCATCCCATGCCAATCATTGGGATTTTGAAATTACACAAAGTCTGCCAGAGAAACACAGGAGCTCACTTATGTTCTTCCAAATAAATGCTTCTCCATAATCTTTAGAGAACAGGAATTTAAAGCTATGACCTCCAGGTTTGCAGCAACTCACTGTGCACAACATTTAGTTTGTGCAATAATTGAAACCATATCCTTGCATGTGCAGCTTTTCAAAGTAGAATAACTTAGCAATCCAGCTTCCAGTATTTTAATTAAATTAACTTTCACATTTTAGTATATTTAGTTATGCAAATCTTAGAAATGTGCCAATTGTGACCACTTCTACCAAGCTGAGAATATGAAGCATTAGTCTGTAGTGGGCATTAAATACTTGCATTTTATGTCTCGTCTTACCTGGTACATGGTCGTCAGCAAACTTGATGTAAACAATGTAAGTGCCAGGTTCGGTTGGACAGTAGAAAACTTTGCAGGTACCTTCCTCAGTCTCTTCTGTGTTGATGTCTACCTTGCTGGGGCCTTCAATGGATAGCGCAAGCCCACCATAACCTGAAAATAATTTCAGTTTCATTCAGACGAATCAATGTTTGCAATGAATTCAAAGATGCAATAGCAAGCAGCTGAATACTCAAAATAAGTTTCTTCAAAGTGACAAATTTATGTTGGATTCTATAGTCATCAGCAAAAACTCTTCATGTGAATGGAAGACAATGAACACGAGCTCTCTAAGAACCAAGTTAACATTACAACCAGGCCAGATCTCAACCTCATAAATTAGATAGAATCAAGTTATTTTATTTACCTCCCTACAACTGTAGCAAACGTGCCGCCTTAGCACATCAACTTGGAGCCTTTAACTGTATGATGCAATTCAATGGGTGCAACATTTATTAGCCAAAGCCCAGAAAGGAAAGGGTAAAATTGTAAAGTTTTAAGGACAGTGCTACATTTGAAAATTACGACAAACACTATTTTGTATTATCTGAGGCATTACCTGCATCTCGTGTATCCACGATGAAGTCAGACATCTCGAATGTCCGGCCCTCCTTCAGACCTTCTCCACAGACTTTGACTCGGCTGGCATCTCCTATCTCAGATTGCCCAACTATGATGGTAATTGGACTATTTGCCACATGTATACCATTTTTCTTAATGCTGACAAGATGTTCACCAACTTCCCGTGGGATGAAGGAGATTCCTAGCGGTCCAAAGAATAGACTCAAAGTAAATATAATGGTACTGTACTGACTTTTTAGAACAATTCATGGTTTTATCTACAGAACATTAGAATTTCATATCTACATTCTAAAGGTTTCTAGCAACAGCAACTTCTAAGTTAGAGGCAAGAACTTACCTCAGATTAGAATATTACTCTAGCTCTTAGTTTATGAGCAAAGCTACTTTGCTTTTTTTAAAAAAAAGGATCTGTAATGAGTCTTTTGAAATCCACAAATATAGAGGCAAGCTCTTGCCAAATGGGAATACGTTATCGTTCCCTGAGAAGTCAGAACTGACTTAATTGAGGAAGCCACTAAATACTTTAATTTAGTGTTAATCTTGCAAATACCTTAGTTTGAATGAATGATTAAAGTTGTCCATAACAAATGTATGCACACTTCACACATCAGAACTAAGAATTTGATGTTCTTGGTCACTTACCAATATGGTTGTTGGGCAGTCTCTTCAGCAGGCATGGTTCATCTCGGCCAGACGGTGCTTTAATGTTTGCTGTTAACAGGCTGAGGTCACTTTCATTGATATCCAGGGAGATGTCAGCGGCTGAGCCAACTTTAACCTGTGACCTTCGCAAGGTGGGATCTAAAAATAAACACATTTCAAGCCAACGCAACAAATGCAAATGATGTTTGTGATCATTTTCAGTATGTTACATTGACAATATTTGAACCGCAATAAAGTTGTTAACCATTGGTAGTTTCAAAATTGATGGCAGTTATCTGCTGTGCATTTTATTTAACTAAAAATACCCTCTGGGGGTAATTACTTTTTCCAGATCAGTAAATTCAAAAGTGGTTTCTGTAATTTTTCCCTGGGTCACAAGGCAATCTTGGCAGCATTCATTAATGAAAATCTTTCCTTTGCAAAGTCTCGAGATCATAGCTCAAGTTCCATTACTACTTCTTACATATTGTTTGCCTGCTTCCTGCACAATATATCAGAGCATCCATATACAAATATGGACATTTCTACAACTTGGAACAATTTGGTGCTCCACATCTGGCATTCATGCTCAGAGGTTTAAGTATTGTGAAGAGTCTATGAATATGGCACTTATACCACTTCAACATAACAAAGACGCTTAATTTAACCATTTGGTTATTCCTGTGCACTTATAAAAGACAGTATGCGAAATGTCTCTACCTGTAATCTTGGCAGCAAAAGGACTTCCAGGGATATGCTTCTCATTGTATTTAACAAGAATACTGTAATCTCCTGGGAAGGTCGGGAGGTAAGAGACTGTGCAGGTGCCATCCTTATTATCCGTACAGCTGATGTCAGCCTTGGAAGGCCCCTCAATGGCTACGTCCAGACCACCTGAGTGGAGAAAACACTGAAGTTTTACTGAACTGGAACATGCCATTTCAACGCTCCATAATGTGTGGTCCTTCTGCATACATTCAGGTTGATACAATTACTCATACCTAGTTTCATGGATTGAGATCTTAGCTACAAAATACATCGAGCAAGTTTTTTTTATAAATCCAGAAAGCAGTGAGTAACTAGCACAAGTTACTAGTTAGTGTGGTTGAGACCAGAATTTAAGACAGCTCAATGGAGGATGGGTGTTCTGGAAGATATAAAGTGCCTTCATCCAAAATTCCTCACCTTCTCCAGCATCTTCTGTTACGATTGTGAATGTGGCTAGTTTGTTCACAACACCATAGACGAGTCCTGGGCCATATGCAGACACATGTCCACTGCTTGCATAGTTCACATAGAACTGCAATGGACTCTCTGAAATGGAAAATATACCATCAACGTAAGTTCAGAGTCTAGTCTTAATATGTGCTCCAAAATTGGCATTGCTGGAAGACTCAAATTCAAGATCTTTTTCAGGGTATAGGTCTTCTGACTCAACTGTGAAATTTACTCAATATATAAAATTTGATCTGACCTTTGTTTATGAATACAGTCTCATTGTGGGAGTTTTTAGGAATTAGTAACTGGACACATTTGCAGTGAAGCTCCTCACCTGGGATATGATTGCCATTGTACTTGATGTGCATCTCATGCAATCCAGCCTCTATGGGAGCATATTTAACAGTGACTGTACCATCCTTATTGTCAGTGATTTCTGGTGTAGCAGTTTTGCCAGAAGGCATTTGAACTTCACCTGTAAAACAAAATCATGCAGAACCTAGTTTCAGATAAAGGACTGCAACAACAAGAATCCATTTAATTGAGCGCCTTTCACGTCGGGAGGACGTCCCAAGGCGCTGTACAGTTAGGTCAGGACCCGAACAAGGGGGAGAATGGTGAGGGGAGGGAAGGGAGGGGGTAGAGAGTCGAGAGGGGAGCTGAAGGCACGGTCAAAGAGAAAGGTCTCGAGACCGGCCTTGAAGGAGGAAAGGGAGGAAGGCGAAGGCACTGGGGGATAGAGTTCCAGAGCCTAGGGGCTGAGAGGCTGAAGGCCTGGCCACCGATGGTCGGGCGGTTGGGGCCGGGGATGTGGAGCAGACCGGAGCCAGAGGAACGGAGGGTACGGGCAGGTAGGTAGGGGGATAGTAGGTCGGAGAGGTAGGAGGGAGCAAGGCCGTGAATGGCCTTGTAGGTGAGGGTGAGGACTAATGGCAGCATTGCAAAGCAGCTTCACAGATGGTGCAGTTGGGTTTGAAAAGAAGGCATTACTTTGTGTAAACCAGCTACACAGACCAGAAAAACTGCTGATTCAAAGCATAAATAAGTGCTCTACAACAACAACAACAAGATTCCATTTATAGAGCGCCTTTCACGTCAGGAGGACGTCCCAAGGCGCTGCACAGTTGGGTCATGACCCGAGCAGGGGGGAAATGGTCAGGGTGAGGGGAGGGAAGGGAGGGAGAGAGGAGGGGGAAATGGTCAGGGTGAGGGGAGGGAAGGGAGGGAGCGAGGAGGAGGAAGAGAGTCGAGAGGGGAGCTGAAGGCACGGTCAAAGAGAAAGGTTTTGAGACCGGCCTTGAAGGAGGAAAGGGAGGAAGCAAGGCGAAGGCACTGGGGGATGGAGTTCCAGAGCCTCGGGGCTGAGAGGCTGAAGGCCCGACCACCGATAGTAGGGCGGTTGGGGCGGGGGACGTGGAGCAGACCGGAGCCAGAGGAACGGAGGGTACGGGCAGGTAGGTAGGGGGATAGTAGGTTGGAGAGGTAGGAGGGAGCAAGGCCGTGAATGGCCTTGTAGGTGAGGATGAGGATCTTGAAATCAATCCTCTGGGGGATGGGGAGCCAGTGGAGGCGAGCGAGGGTGGGAGTGATGTGGTCCCGAAGCCTGGTGCGGGACAGTACACGAGCTGCAGAGTTCTGAATGACCTGCAGCTTGTGGAGGGAGGTGCGGGAAGGCCGGCGAGGAGAGAGTTCCCATAGTCCAGCCTTGAGGTGACAAAGGCGTGAACCAGGGTTTCAGCAGCGTGAGGGGTGAGGTAGTGCCGTAGTCTGGCGATATTCCGGAGGTGATGGAAGGCGGTGCCAGTTGTGGTGCGGATGTGAGGGAGAAAGGACAGCTCAGGGTCGAACAAAACGCCGAGGTTCCTGACTGGCTTTGAGAGGTGGAGAGTGCAGCCTTGGATGCTGATGGTGTCAGCGCCTGAGGTGCGGAGGCGCTGACGTGAGCCAATCAGGAGGGCCTCGGTTTTTCGCACGTTGAGCTGAAGAAAGTTGTCTCTCGTCCAGGACTCGATGTCGGACAGGCAGGCTGTCAGGACATCGGTGGTCGTGGAGTTGAGAGTAGAGGAGGAAAGGTAGAGTTGGGTGTCATCCGCATACATGTGGAAGTTAACCCCATGTTTGCGGATGATGTCACCGAGGGGGAGCATATAGAGGGTGAAGAGGAGGGGACCGAGGACAGAGCCCTGAGGGACACCACATGAGACAGTACGGGGGGTGGAGGAGAAGCCATTCGTTGAGACGAAGTGAAGACGGTGGGAAAGGTAAGAGCTAAACCATTCAAGGACAGTGCCTTGAAGGTTGAGGTGGGAGGACAAGCGGTGGAGTAGGATAGCGTGGTCGACCGTATCGAATGCTGCCGATAGGTCGAGGAGGACGAGGAGACAGAGGGAGCCCTGGTCACAGATAGTCAGGATATCATTGGTGACCTTGACCAGGGCAGTTTCTGTGCTATGAGCAGCACGGAAACCTGACTGAAGGGGTTCAAAAAGAGAATGGGTGGAGAGGAAAGAGCGCAGTTGGGAGGCGACAACTCTTTCCAAGACCTTGGAGAGAAAGGGGAGGTTGGAGATGGGCCGGTAGCTTGATAGCTGCGACGCATCAAGGGAGGGTTTTTTCAGGGTGGGCGTGATGATGGCAGTTTTTAATGGAATGGGGACAGAGCCAGAGGAGAGGGACAGGTTTATGATGTCAGTGATGTGTGGGGCAAGAAAATGGAGCTGGGAGATAAGGAGTGGAGTGGGGATGGGGTCAAGGGAGCAGGTGGTTGGTTTTAGGGATAGGATGAGTTCAGTGACAGAGGGTGGGGAAACGGGTACGAAGGTGTGTAGGGGAGGATGGGTAGGAGTCGGAGTGTGGGAGGGAAGGGGTGGGTGGTGGGTGGAAGTTGGAGGGGAAGTGACCGCGGAGCGGATTCCCTTCCCTTCCCTTGAAGGATTCTTTGCCTCTAGAGGAGGCAAAGAAAATAAGCCAAGATTGCCACTCATTAAAAGACACAAACTCCTCTGGGTCAGGCTTGCCAACTGTGGAGTCCTGTAGCTCAGTGGTTAGAGCACTTGCCTTGCAAGCAAGAGACCAGGGTTTGATTCCCCGCAGGGTGAACCTTACTTTCCAAGTTTCCTTACTCCACACGCCTGATAATCCCTCAAGAAAAAAACAATAATAAATTGGTCACTTCAATCCACGACTGTTTGTGGGACACTGCTGTGCACAATTGGCTGCCGCGTTTCGACCACAAGTATAAAGTCAATTCAATTTACAGTATATTCTGTGAAGATGTGAAAAGCACGATATCAAATGCAAGGATTATTATAGATCAGATTTACCATCTTTCTCCTTTTCCGCACATCCTTACCGTTATATACCCAGCTAACATTCATCACAATGAATTGAGCAGCTTTGGGATAGACAACCAATGGGTTACTTGCATTAGTGGAACAGTATTAGCATGAATGGCAAGATAAGGTGGCAGGGAAAGGGCAAGGGAGAAAATGAGAGACAGGAGAAAATTCAAGCTTAATTTGAAAAATTTCTGAACAAAACCAGTATATAATTTTCAAATCAGTGATACTTCAAAGTACATACTACGTTAGAAAACAGCTGTCAGCACCAACACATATACTGGTCCAAATCCAAACAAGCATCTCCAAAATGGAATCTTGAATCGCTTGCCACCAATCATCAAAGAATCATAGAATTATAGAGCACAGAAGGCTATTCTGCCCATGTTTGTGCTGGCTCTTTGAAAAGAGCCAGCACAATCGCGCTCCCCCACCCTCTCCCCATAACCCTGCAAACTTGTCCTTCCCAAATAATGATCTACTTCTCTCTTAAATGTTCTTTAAGATCAGCCAATCAATCAACAGCAACAAAATTACATTTGTATAGCACCTTTCATGTTGGGAAGATGTCCCAAGGTGCTGGACGATCAGTGTTTTGGACCTGAGCTGGGGATCGGGGAGGGTGGTGGGGAGGGGGTGATCGTAGGCACAGTCGAAAAGGAAGATCTTGAGATGGGTCTTAAAGGAGGCAAGGGAGAGGGACTGCAGGATGGAGTTCCACAGGGTGGGGTCAGAGTGGCTGAACGCCTGCCCACCAATGGTGGGGCGGGCGAGGTAGGGACAGGCCCGAGCCCACTGAGCAAAGAGCGGGCAGATTGGTAAGGGTTTAGAAGATCACAGAGGTAGTGGGGAACAAGGCCATGGAGAGCTTTCAAAGCGAGGACCAGAACCTTGAACTGTATCCTCTGTGTGAGGATGGGGGTGATAGGGTCACAGCACCTGGAGCAGGAGGATATGGGCTGCAGAGTTTTGAATGATCTGTAGACTATGGGGCTGGGGAGGCCAACAAGTAGGGAATTTGCGCAGTCGAGCCTGGATGTTATGTGTGTGTATGAGGGTCTCTTGTGTATGAGACAGTGGTGGAGCTGAGCAATGTTGAGAGGTGGAGAAAGCAGAACAGGTCATGGCACGCATGTGGAGTATTAAGGACAGTTGAGGGTCGAACAGGATGCCAAGGTTCTGTATTGGCTTCGTGAGGTGCGTAGTGCATCCATGGAGGGAGATGCTGTCAGCAGCAGAGGTATGGAGGCACTGACGGGAGCCAAGCAGGAGCGTCTCGGTCTTGTTGACATTCAAGTGGAAGGAAGTTAGCTCTCATCCAGGATTTGATGTCTGACAGGCAAGCTGTGAGGACAGCAGTGGTCCTGGATTCGAGGGTGGAGGCAGACAGGTAGATTAGGTGTCATCTCCATACATGTGGAAGTTGACTCCATGTCTGCAGATGATGTCACCAAGGGCGAGCATGTAGATATTGAAGAGGAGGGGACCAAGGACAGAGCGCAGAGGAATACCACACGTGACAGTGCAGGGGTTCAGAGCGGGAATGACAGGAAAGAGCGAAGCTGGGACGTGACGACTGGTTGCAGGGCCTTGAAGAGGAATGGAAGGTTAGAGATGGGGTGATAGCTGGAGTAGAGATGGATCCAGGGAAGGTTTTTTTGAGGATGGGGGTGATGACAGTTGCTCATAGGGAGGTGGGAGCAGTGCACAAGGAGAGGTTGATGATATCGGTTAAAAGAGGTGCCAGGAGGGGGAGCTAGAAGTTGAGGAGAGGGGTGGGGATGGGTCGAGGATGCAGGTGTTGAGCCTCATTTTTTAAATGATGGCGGTAAGGGAAGAGGAGGAGACAGGGTCGAAGGGATGAGTGGGGGGAGGTGGCGAGGGGATAGCAGTGGACTGGGGATGAGGTAGCCGAACAAATCCCTTGGATTTTGGATTCAAGGAAGTCTAACATTTCCTTGCAGTTGGAATTGGAGGAGAGGATGGGCAAGGCGTGGGAAAGTGAACGGAGGAGGTGATTAGTGGTGGAGAAAAGGAGCCTGGGATTGTCCTTGGCCTCCAAGGCAGTAAAAGGATGCTGCAGTAAAAGGATGATTTGACGGAGGAGAGGGAGGAGCGACAAGTTTTAGTATGTTCCAGCCAGATCTGCCGATGGACCGTTAGATTTGATTTAACTCAGGTACGTTTGGCGATGCGCACTTAGGCCTTGGGGGATCAGAGATGGCTTGATATGGGAATATGAGGCGGTTCGGGAGTTGAGGGGGGCAAGGGAGTCAAGGATGGAGGAGAGGGAGTTGTGGAGAAGAGAGATAGAGGATAGGTGGGGTCCTATCGAGGAAGGAGTAGTGGGAGAGAGTGGGGAGATTTTTTTCCAAGGGCGCTAAGTGATAGAAGTGTGTTGAGTAGGGGGAAAGGGTACGGAGATAAGGGAGATGAAGTGATGGTCCAAGATGGCTTTATCAGTGATAGTGATGTCCGAGACGGTGAGCTCCTGGGTGATCACCAGGTCAAGGGGATAATCGTGGTTGTGGGTGGCGGAGCGGATGTGGAGGGAGAGATTGTAGGAGGAAAGGAGAAGTCAGCAGAGGTAGAGCAGGAGGGGATGAAGTGGAGGTTGAAGTCACCTAGAATGAGGAGGCGGTCGGAGCAGAGGGATATGGAAGATAGGAGGGGAAATATCGGGGATGAAGGTGGGGGAGGGCGACAAATAAGGCGAATTTTGAGGGAAAGGTTGGAGGGGTCATAAAGAGTACAGTGCTCAAAGGAGAAGGTTCCGGAGGAGTAAGGGGATAGGCTGAGTGGGGACCGGGAGATGAAAGCCACACTGTCACCACGGCGGTTAGGTCATGAGGTATGATGGAAGGTTTTAGCCAAGTGGTATGGCCTCTGTCAGGGGGAAGGTGCCACCTGGAGTGATCCAGGTTCGGTGAGGATCACAGCCCACAGTATGAACCAGTTATATCTTCGTGCTGAACCAGGCAATGCCTTTATATACAACAACACTACATTTGTATAGTGCCTTTCACTTAGGGACAGTGTACAGCATAGGAAGGAGGGAAGAACTATTGTACAGTGAATATTACTTTAGACACGTGGATTAATAATTATTCAGTATATCAATTACTTAATTTAGGATTTTACTCTGTTTGTAAGCAAAATTGCAAAGAAATGTTAGAGTGACACCAAAAAATATTAGAAATTTAAATCTTGGCTGGAACATATTGAAACGCACAGATTAAGAAAAGGCTTTGAATACATAATTAGGAAACTTATAAAACATACCTCCGATGTGATATTAAAAAAAAACTTACCTGTGATCTCCCCAGTTCTGAGAGAAAAAGGAACGACAATATCAAAAGGTCTGAAGCCCACACCATCCATTTCGGACACTGGCAGGTAAGAACCATCTGTAACCTTAAGGATATGAAAACATTTCAAAACCATGCAGACAATGTTACTAAACATTTGCATATAAGTATTGGCACAATTGTCAAATTGCTATTTTATTTGAGTTTGTGTCAAAAACGATTGTGCATTTTATGCAGTTGGTAATAAGGCAGAAGTATTCATATAATACAAAATTACTACTGTACAACATTGATTTAGATTGTAAATGAAACATCCATCATTGCCATTGAGCTACAGTATTAGGCTTTTAAGATGAACATATTTTTGTAATGAAAATGACAAGCATCACTCGAGCGACAAAGTTTTTGCAGCGTCAAACCTAATAGAAGGGTGGGTAATAAGTCACTTTCCTTTTGGAAAAAATTGGATAACTCAGAAATCTGAACTGTGATAACCCAAAAAGCTTGTTAGGGGCTAGATGGAGTTTTTCAGCAGCTTTAGAAAGTGCAATCTTTTTGGTGCCACTATCGCTGAAGCTGCATTTTCAGCAAATAACATGAAAATGGTATTTTGAAGTAGTGCCTCTTCATCCTTCTGCACATCAGCTGTAACAACAACTTAGTCTGCAATCAACTGTCAAAGTTACCAGCTGCTATTAAGATAGTTCAACCAGTCTGCAATGTGGCTTCACAATAGCAGATAGGAGAAATGGAGAGAGAGTAACAGGTGGTGAATCCAGTTGGGAAAGTTTCTGGCCCTAGAACGAACAGTGAAGCAACAAAGGCAGTGAAATGTAGATTGAAACATCATATAATAGTAACTTGTTCAGTAAAATTAAGGAAAGTTGAATGAAAGGAATTTGGTGCATGCAACTGCAAGATAACATTTACATCTAAACTTCCAAATTCAACAATTTTACGTGTGCACCAACCATTATATGACTTCCATTCTGCTTAGAATGCCTCATATGGCACAATTTTCAAACATGGGTGCTAACAGCAAAGCAACATAACACTATGAAACAAAGCCAATTACAGTTAAAGTATCTCAAGTACTAGTGGTTGAGAACAGCAGATGAAATGACATCAGCACCAAAATAAAGCAAGAAATACTAAAATAGCAGCCTGGGTATGGTGGGCCTGTCTGCAGAGGGACTGTGATAGATTCAAGCAAGCTTGGTCTTCAGTTTCTAAAATACTCCTTTTTGGATAACAAGAACTTAGCTCCCCAAAACCTGTTTATAATTGTCAGTATCATAATGCTGGTCAACTTCATATTTTGGCCATTTCAGTGAGATTACATGAATACCATTTACACTAAAATCTTACCCCGTTTGGAGAGAATGTTTACATGCAGAAATGAATGGGCAAAGCTATGTTAGGCTTTTGAGTGCCAAAACGAGTCAGTTCACACCCAGGGGGACCAACAAACATGGAGAACACTCATATTTCAGCACCTTTACATCAGTTCACCTAGCCAGACTCCAGCTATATTAGTGTATGGTATGAAATCAGAAAATAAATCAAGATTAAGGTTTCAGCTAAGCAATCTTACAATTTAATTTTCCACACCGTTTATAAGTACAGGTTTCCTTGTTAAAGGAATTGTAGTGTCAGAAATAAATCAAAACAGGATAAATATTTATCCTAGAATTATCCAAGGTACTCTTTTGTACTAACTAGTCTCTTTAATGGATTTTGTTGTCATCCACTTCAGCAGCAAAACCACATTGTTTTTGCTGAAAATGATAAGACTCAGGAATCTCTGAAACACATTGACTTTCCAACAATGCAGTCTATGTGATTTGCCTTTTCAGACTGAATGTATGCACTATTTCAGGAAAATGTGGAAAAATAAAAGCTGCCAATCACATCAACACAAGAATTAGGAATTGAACACACTCCAAAGTAATCTCTTGGCCTACATTACCTCCTATCAATCCATAGTACAGCTGCAGAACTACTGCAGTGGAAACCTTGCATATTAGAGTTTACACAAAGAATCTGGCCATTGTAACTAGGAATTGCATGTAACACTACACTGACATTTAAAAAGTGTTAAGAATATTTCCAACAATTAACTCAATATTCATGGCGATAACTAATTTTTTAAATTATGAAAAGGGAAGAAAATCAAGCATTCCAGATGACAGGTCCCACCCAGCAAGCCTCGAACACTAGATTAGGAAGAAAAATTAAAAGGGAATATAAAAAAAACTCAATGTATTAAAATTTGTACCCAGGGTTGGAAGCCAGGGGGATACGCATTTAGAGTTTGCTGCTGTTGTGCTAGTTGCTGCGGCACTATTGGAACTTCATCTGTGGCCTGGGGAAGGGTAAACAGCAAGTTAGTTTTTCCAAAGCACATCTAAAACTACAGGTACAAGTCCCGGTTGTCAAGTCACTAGATTTGAAATAACAGATTACAGAAATAAACTTCCCAAAATATTTTAAAATAAAATCTAAAACTTTCTATTAAGGCAAACTATATCAAGATACGGCAAGGAATAAAATAGGTGATCGATCAGCACTTGGAGCCCATCAACAATTCACAGCTACCCATTTGAGGTTATTTTCTGTATGCTTGTCAATCAAGCAAGAAGCGTAAATTATTTTTTGGAAACTTAGAACCAAATTAATGCCTGAAAATTACTACTTCTGGAAAAAGAACCTGATAAATCCTAGTTTGACACTCCCTTAAAGAAGAAATGTACACAATTTCCACAGGCATCATACCAAACATTCCATCTATAAAAACAGGTATGTGCAGCAATACCAGCTTTCTGACAAAGTAAAGCACCCGCCTTTTAAAACGTGCTTGCCCTTTAGATTCTTAAATACCATTTGAATTGGAAATCATTATTTTTAAAACACACAATACTAAAAATAACCAGCAGGCAGCCATTATAGCATTGTTTCCAGGTAAAAGCAGTTGTTCGAGTCCCAAGGCTGCCAGACACTTCAACATCTCTTGAACAGGCATCTTTTATCCCTAAGCTTGGCTGGGAATACAATCCTACACGTGCACAGCTCGTTCCACTTCCAGATCTACAGAGGGGTTAAGGGAGGAGAACCTAACAATCTCCGCAGGTCACTCACTTCAAGCTTATGTGTGGGACTAAGATGTCCTTGCCAGGAGAAAAACAAAGTTTTTATAGTTAAAACTTAATTAAAAACTCATGAAGCAGTCTTGGATGTACAGGCAGCACCAAATTTGAAAATGAACAATATTAAATTGAACTTCGCAACTACTGCATTCTTTTGCCCATAACATATACAGTCAATTCACTTTACAGTATATTCTGTGAAGTGCTTTGAGACGTCTAGATGACGTGATAAGGTGCTATATTAAATGCAAGGATTATTATTAATATTTTTATTACAAAACTATAAAGCAATTTGATACATATAGTATTCTATAAACTGAAGTTATGGAAAAAACACTTCAATTTGAACAATCTTATGAGTAGATGCTTTATTATATCCATACTAAATTAAATCTGCACAGGCTCTGAATAACATGAAAGTCTTACCACTACATGGAGTGGACTGTTCACAAGATCTACTCCTCCAAAACGCACGTAAATAACGTAGGTTCCTTTCTCAGGCGCAGTATAGAAAATGTTATATGTTCCATCGTCATTCTCAACAACCTCTGCCTCCACTTCTGTTCCATCAGGGGTGGAGACTATGCAAGTGACCTTGCCTTTGCCTGCAGTTCTCGCATCAACCACAATCCCCAATTCTTCTCCCAACTGAACAGTGGGTCCAACACCAGGCCCTAAAGTAGCAATACATTATGCTGAGTAGTGAAATCATTACTTTTATGAATGAAGCATTGAAAGTCTGTTATGAGATTGCACCTCTCCTTGATCAGATTTATTGAAATGGGCTGTTAAGTGGACACTCATTAGTTAAGCATTGAGTTAATCTTTCTCTACATGAATGTGGTTTCCAGTTCCCACCCTGCATATCAACTACAATACTATATAAACAGAATGTTTGACCAGAGCACAGCTGTTGGTATCCAGCCTTAATCCTAAAAATTTAAAACTGTCTTTATAGAGGCACATTGGTAACATTCTAGTTGGACAAAAGTAATTCATAAAATTAAGATTTTAGATCCAGGAAAGAAATAAGAACACTTCTACAAATGAAACTGATGAGGACTTTAGCAATTCTAACATTGTACCCTTGGTTACCTGACATTGTGCACTTGCTGGCATCACCAGTAGCTACCGCACGGATTCGGTAAGGCGACGAGGGGATCTCATCTCCACCATATTTGATGACGATAGTGTAACGTCCAGCCTTATCTGGTATGTAGGAAACGCTGTATGTGCCATCATTATTGTTGTGGATATTCGCCTTCTTGGGCTTTCCTTCTTGGTCCTAAAGAAAAAGGTTTTACTATTCGATCTCACACTATTATAATGAAGTTCACTCTTATGGTGATGTCTTTGAAAATTTCCTTAGTTACCACTTTAATAAGCAGCTCATTTGCAATTAGATTTAACCAATGGGTCCAACACAACAGCAACAACTTGCAATTATACAGCGCCCTCCACACAGGTAGCATCTCAGAGTGCTTGCCTTGGCGAACACCAACTAAGCCTTCAGAACTAAGACAAGCGACTACAACAGATAGCAATTTAAAAGATATTAATGGCAAAAGAACAATTTAGGTAAAGAAATCTCTCTAGCCCATTTTCCCAGTCAACGTCTTACACTGGGAGTGATTCCACAAGCAGCATTTTCTTATGATTCCAGTACAGCAGCGTGCCTGCGTTACAAAGCATCCAGTTTGTACAAACTTATCTCAACTATTTTGCAGTGTAAGCCAGGATTGCACATCAAGCTCTCAGTTTGCAGGAAAGAAAGTCAGTGACATTATTTAAAAAAAACAAATGCTTTATACAAAGTTCATGTATTATGTTTATCCATTGGGTCAGATAATATTAGCAAAAACTTACAGTGATTTGTACAGAAAGGAGTCCTTCTCCAGCATCTTTGGCATCAATTGTGAATTCCACAGGTAGGCTGGCCTGTACACCTGTGGCATTAAGGCCTGGTCCACTGGCTCTTACTTTGCTGGCATCATGAGTTGGCAGTACTTTCATTCTGAAAGGACTACATGAAAAGAAATGCATTTGATAAGCACTTGGCAGGCAATTGCAGCATGCAAGTAAATTACTTAAATTCTTGGTCTATTGTTGGGACACTGGAATGGTATGCTAAAAAGGTAATTAATACTGCACTCCTGTCTGAAAATGCATGGTTTTCCTATCCCGAGTTCAGTAATGCATTTACAGAGAACTTAGATTGCATTTAAATGCAAGAGAATAATTACTCATATACAATACCCCACGTTAGCTATTAGTCAACACTCAAACAAAACCCTCTAGTGATTCACGGGTTAAATGTTCAGATGTACTGAGGCATTGCACTCTTGGTATGACTTAGAATGAGCTGAAGGCGATAATGCTGTTGCGGAGGGGGGAATTAAAAAGGGAAAAAACAAGTCTGCCAATATTTCTTACAAAAATGTAACAGATTATTTCTTTGTGAAATTGCACTTGAGCCTCAACTACTCAGCACTAAAACTTTTCAAACTAATCTGATGTTGGACCGTATTGGGGGGGGGGGGGGGGGGGGGGGCAGGGGTGAGAGAGGAAACAATTCCAGCCACAATACTTGTTTTCACACAGTCAAGCAAGACAATGCACAGGGTGATCCAGCTGTACTGTTTTGGATCCAAAAAGGTAAAACTTAACTAAAAATAGTTTGGCTCTGAAGGCTTTTCTCTTTTCGGTAGCTGCATAAGAAAAAGCAAACTGTAAAGTAATAAATATAGGCAGAGCAACAAGCCAGTTAAATGGATGTAAGCCTAGATAATATTTTAACTCGAACCACAAAATTTATGGCATCCAGAAAAATCTATGCAAAGGAATGTGCAAGTCAGATTGGGTGCAGCCAAGTTTGAATCGACAATCTGATCCCTTAAATCCTTCCAGCTTTGCCTGTGGTAGAGAAAAACGGTTCCCTTGTTGACAATATTTAAAAAAACTAAGAGACTTGTATTATAGATATCACTTTATTTTGTTACATAAAAATTGATGACTTATTTTGTGTAACACATGAAGGGGGGGAAAAGAAATAAAGAAAAGTGCAAGAGATTTACACTTAAGTTACCTGCGAGCAATGTCTTCATCTGCATACTTTACGGAAATGGAGTAAGGCCCTTCAAGTGAAGGCGTGTATCTGACTGTGTAAGTTCCAACACCATTGTCAATAATTTCAACAGGCTCAATCGTGCCTGGGAGCGAGAGAGAAAGAAAAAGGAAATGTTAAAAATCTGGATACATACACATTAGACTTGGATAAATATTTTTTTAAAAATTCCCATGTGCTTTGTTAATCCAGGTAGTCAGCTCTGCACAAAAAAGTGATTAATATCTTTACAGAGTGCATTGTCCCATATCAGTTCACAGTGGTGCAAATCCTGGATATCCACTTGCAAGTGAAGAGCATTTTATTAGATTTAGTGTGGATATTAGCTATTCAAGCAAAGTGATGCAGGAGTATTACACTAAATGGTATTCAGTATATTAACTAGACAATTAACCATTAAGAGTACAAAAACAGAAGTCGCTGGGAACATTCAGCAGGTCAGGCAGCATCTATGGAGAAAGGAAAGTGAGTCTAAGTTTCGGGTCCACAACCCTTCGTCAGAACAACAACAACATTTCATTTATAGAGCGCCTTTCACGTCGGGAGGACGTCCCAAGAAGGGGGATAGTAGGTTGGAGAGAGCAAGGCCGTGAATGGCCTTGTAGGTGAGGATGAGGATCTTGAATTCGATCCTCTGGGGGATGGGGAGCCAGTGGAGGCGAGCGAGGGTGGGAGCGATGTGGTCCCGAAGCCTGGTGCGGGACAGTACACGAGCTGCAGAGTTCTGAATGACCTGCAGCTTGTGGAGGGAGGTGCCGGGAAGGCCGGCGAGGAGAGAGTTCCTGTAGTCCAGCCTTGAGGTGATAAAGGCGTGGACCAGTGTTTCAGCAGCGTGAGGAAATGCCATAGTCTGGCGATGTTCCAGAGGTGATGGAAGGCGGTGCCAGTTGTGGTGGATGTGGGGAAGAAAGGACAGCTCAGGGTCGAACAGAACACCGAGGTTCCTGACTGGCTTTGAGAGGTGGAGAGTGCAGCCTTGGATGCTGATACTGTCAGCGCCTGAGGTGCGGAGGCGCTGACGTGAGCCAATCAGGAGGGCCTCAGTTTTGCGCACACTGAGCTGAAGAAAGTTGTCTCTCGTCCAGGACTCGATGTCAGACAGGCAGCTGTCAGGACATTGGTGGTCGTGGAGTTGAGGGTAGAGGAGGAAAGGTAGAGTTGGGTGTCATCCGCATTCATGTGGAAGTTAACCCCATGTCTGCGGATGATGTCACCAAGGGGGAGCATGTAGAGGGTGAAGAGGAGGGGACCGAGGACAAAGCCCTGAGGGACACCGCACGAGACAGTGCGGGGGCTGGAGGAAAAGCCGAAAAGCTGGAGGAAAAGCCAGGAAAAGAACTGGGACATGTTGGGAGGGAGAGGCTTTTAAGGGCTAACAGAGAGGGGGGGAGGCAGGGCAAGGAAGACAAAGGAGAAAATGGGGTAGAGGACAGGGGATGATGGGTTAAAGAGGTGTTAAACAAAGGGGGGGGGATTGCAACAAAGCAGGGGAATAGAGGTGTTAATACTACAGAATAAAGGGCAAGGAAGAATTTGCAACAAAACAGGCAGATTAGGGAGAGAAAAGGTGTGTCTGGGACAAAGATGAGGTGGGAATGGTCACAGAAGAGGGGGAGGGGGAAGGTGGGCTGTTATGGTCTGAAATTGACACCTCTTCAACCCATTATCCCCTGCCCTCTACACCATTTTCTCCTTTGTTTTCCTTGTCCTGCCTCCCCCTTCTGTTAGCCCTTAAAAGCCTCCCCCTCCCAGTTCTGAAGAAGGGTAATGGACCTGAAACGTTGACTCACTTTTCTTTCTCCATAGATGCTGAGCGTTCCCAGCAACTTCTGTTTTTGTTTTCAGATTTCCAGCACCTGCAGTATTTTGTGTTTTGTTTAACCATTAGAGCACTGTAGTTCCAGAAACTGGTTTATGAATTACTCCTTTAAAAAGTTTAATTATGTACATTTCAAGGTTTGCTTTAAAATGAGGGTGAAGCAGAGTGCAGTTGCAAGAGAAGGATGTACAATTCAGAGTTCACTGGTGTGGACATTGTACAGTACAAACCATGATTGACTAGTCAGTTGGCGTTTAGTAATAGCTTCTGGATAAGTTTACTAGCCAGAAAACAAACTTGCTTTCAGTAGGCATGGGGGGAAATGAAAGAAAAGCAGTGCTGGATCTCGTTGATACTACTCCCTCATTATGAATCACCATCATCCACAGGAGTGTCAACGAACAAGCCAAAGCTCTCAATAAGTCCATTTGCAGATGAATTTAACAACCTGTTAGCACCACCCCACCACAGTGAAACCAACATACCCACCAACAGGCAAAACTTTGTTGTTTTATGCTGGTTCAAGCTGTGCACACAATACCAGAATTGTTAGGATGAAGGAGCCAATTGACACCACCAGCTCATACAGTATTAAAGTCATTACCTATTCAAGGTTAAATGGAGGCGAGCAAACAGTCCTGGACTTGTATTGCGGAAGGTATATTTTTACTATGGAATCCACTAATTTGACCTTACTAAAAAAATATTCCAATTACATATTGAATTAACTTGGCAGGTGCCTGATAGCAAATAAATTAGTACCAATCCTGAACTAATTAGGAAATAAACACTTCATAAGGAAACAACATAGTTATTTGAAGTTAATTATATATATCAAAGCAAACCCAGCTAATTAAACTTTCAATGAGCAAAGTTTAAAATAAAAAGAATTCCTACCAGATCAGATGGGAAAAGATAAAGCTATTTCGGATCCTGAGCAGCCATGAAGAACCCTTTAAATTCCAGCTAGAAGCACGACTAATTTATTAGGGTAAAAATCTTCATGATCTCACAGGTCTTGCAGATGGTCAAGTCTGATTTAGAGCATGCAACTACTTTTGAAATTGTTCGATTTTGATCAGATACAAATTTCAGTAGCTACAATGAAATAAATCTTGATGGACCTTCCTAACAAGATTAGCTAGGCCAAGTTGAACAAATGCAATATGGAAACTGCAACATTACTTCAAGCGTTAAAACTAGCAAGTTCTACTGTGGCAGCTTTTAGTAAATGTAAAAGCAAACAGGACCAGCGTAATTGTTCCCAACGTGTGGTATTACCCGCCACCTTTTCTTGGCTTGCCGAGATGATTAAGCTCAAATCCGAACCTGTCTCACTGTCAGGAACCTTTGGCTCGCCTTTAAAGAAGTCTGCAATGGCTTTCAGAGGACTGCGCCATGGTTGCGGCTGTGCCTCACCAACTAGAACAGAAAACCTTTTACTTGCAGCAAACCTGACAAGTTACCGGAATGTGGCAAGTGATCCCCTTTTTTTTAAAAAAAAGTCACAGCCTTCCCTGTAGTGCATCAATTGATCATGCAAGAACAGTCATCAGTCGTGAAAAAACATTTTAAATATATATTTTAAAAATCTTGTCCACTTTCCTGCATGCACAAAAACTACAGAAGACTCTAAATCAGCACAAAAAGCATTGAAGTGCTTAGGGTCAGTCTTACCTTTTGGTCCCAGCACAACCACTTCAAGAGGAGCTTTCCCAGCCTTACTACAGTCTAGAGTGAATTCCTGTGGAACTTTGGCCCGGACTCCTGAACTCAGCCCAGGCCCACTGCACTTAACCTTGCTTGGATCCACAACATCTTTGACTGGTACCTTAAATGGACTGCCTGTAAAATAGCAATGGAAAATGCATGGATACTAGCTTTGTTTGGTTACATTGTTTTGATTGTGGGAGTGAAGAGAGATTTCAGAATTACAATGAAAGAGCAAATTCTGAAGTTCAGCACGACTAGCATCCACACAGAATGCATTTCTCTCATGAAAGTTGGTCCGAATCAAATGCTCAGGACACCAGTATCCTGACTTTGAAGTTTTTTCTGATTAAATGCAAGTGAAATGTAAAAGGTTGTGTAGTTTAAATGAGTTAGTGAATTCAATAAGCAGAGGTACAAGTAAAATAATAACCTTGCATTTGATACAGCACCTTATGTCATCAAGATGTCCCAAAGTATTAAAGTAAACAGAAATCCTGACCCAAGCAGAATAACTTAGTGTAAATGGCAATTTACCAATGATGGGCATTATTGATAGTAATACGTAAAAAACAAACAGCTTTTGTTGCTAGTAGTTAACTTCCATTTTGGAAAAGGTGCAATGAATAGATAAGGAGACTGAGGGAAGACTGTGGAGTCCTGTAGCTCAGTGGTTAGAGCACTCGCTTTGCAAGCGAGAGACCCGAGTTCAATTCCAGGCAGGGCGAAACCTTGAGCAAGTTTCCTTACTCCACACGCCTAATAATAATCCCTCCAAAACAAAAACAATAATAACTTGGTCATTTTCAATCTACGACTGTTTGTGGGACATTGCTGTGCGCAATTGGCTGCCGCGTTCGCCCACAAATATACAGTCAATTCACGTTACAGCGTGTTCTGTGAAGCGCTTTGGGACGTACTCCCAACGTGAAAAGCGCTATATTAAATGCAAGGATTATTATTATTATTAAGACATCCAATGAGCATTTAAGTATCATGTCATAGAATACTATAATAATAATAATCTTTGCATTTGATATAGCACCTTATGTTTTTGAGACATCTCAAAGCATTTCACGGAATATACTGTAAAGTAATTGACTGTATATTTTGTGAGCAAAACGCAGCAGCCAATTGCGCATATCAGTATCCCACAAACAGTGGTGAATTGAGTGACCAATTTTTTTTAATTTTTTTTTTAAATTAAGGAATTATTACCCCAGAAAAGCGATCTGCCAATCAACTAACAACCGGGTTTCTACTTACTGCTAGATAAACAGAGGTGTGTGGCGTAGGAAACTTGCCCAACATTTCGCCCTGCTACGAATCGTACCAAGGTCTCTTGCTTACTATGCATCATTTCAACAGAAGTTAAAGATTCTTTGAACAATAGGTAGGTTTAACAGGTTCTTACGTTAATTTACCAAGTCAAGATTTTAAAATATTTAAAACCAGTATTTTAAGAGCTTACCAGGTATGTGTTGTCCTCCATAGGTAATATTCAAGTCATATTCTCCAGGGGCATAAGGGATGTATTCAACACTGCAACTGCCATCTTTGTTGTCCTTACAAGACATCTTTGCTTCTGAAGGTCCTTCAACAGTAATACCAAGACCACCAGTTCCTGCCCCCCTGCATTACAAAGTTGTTACTATCTTTACCATCTGGTACACGAGAAACGTGGCTTACAATACTTCCAATATCTCGCGAGTTACTAACATATGAGAAACTCCAGGTTTGGAGTTTCCCTCATGTTGGTGACTCGCAAGATATCTGGATTGAAAAAAACCTTCAGTACTTCAAAATGAGCTCAGTTTTAAACAATTAACTTATGACTTAACTTTGAGATTACCTGGTTACCACAGAGAATTTGTTGGGTTTATTAGTGATCCCCTCCTGAAGTCCAGGTCCAATAGCACGAACACGCAAGGAGTCACATCCTTCTGCGACTTCGACCTCAAAGGGACTTTTTGGTACAGGCGCATCATCATAGCTTATCGCAACTGTGTGAACACCTTCACCAAAACAAAAGCAGTAGTTTTACTACCACACAAAGAGAACAAAACACCCTACTTGCTTCAAATATTGAAAGGAATCTGTAGAACAAATCTATTGTACATGAGATTGGGTAATATTAGTTTTCTTGAGCGATAACTAATTTGTTCTAAAGCTGCCTCAAAATGAAGCCTCAACCTTTGCTCACCCTTTTCAAAAGGCGTGTATTCCACGGCATAAGTGCCGTTGCCATTATCCTTGATCAAACAATCCGTCCGAGCACCAGAAGGGTTTGCAATTGATGTTTTGATGTGATTTCCTCCAATTGTAGTCAGTGAACTGGAGTCTACTGTAAAGTCAGTGGTAGCTTCACAGAAAACTGAAACAGATGTGCATGTCCAAAGCTATTAACTTCACACAAAGTACATTTCTTTAAGCACTTCAAACGTCTTAACTAATCAAAATGAATTTTGCTCTCTTCCTGAGAGACCAATTGATAACCACTATATTTGGGTGGCAAAGTTGGACTTTATTTAAAAAAAACACCAACTAAGTGTTAGTGTTGCCATGCAGCACCAGCAAGTGCTAGGAAGTAGAGGATTGATATTAATTCAGAGAAAACTAATAAGTACTACTCTTACAGCCACTGGTGTTCATGGCTTTTAAGTTTCTATCAAATCAAAGATAAATGGTCTTAATTTGCAAGCTAATAGTTACACAATAAGTAGTTATGGAAAGACAGGGAATTACTGTCAGACTGGAAGAATTAAAAAAAACTTACCACGCCCTTCAATGCCTGGTCCATATACTTTAATATTGCTAGTATCAACTGCTGGGTCCACCTGTACATGTGCTGGGAATTTGGGTACTGTCTGTCCTCCGTACTTGAGTTCAATTGTGTACATACCATGCTGCAGTGGAATATAGCTCACTATATAAGTACCATCACTATTATCCTGAATATGGGTTTCAGTCTTAGCACCTTTTTCTGATACAGTTTCCACTGTTAAGTCACCTGGGCCAGCCTTTGAACAATCAACATTAAGTATTGCAGCTTCTCCAACCTTTCCACGCTCCAGACCAGGACCAGAAACAACAACTTTGGTTGGGTCAAAAGGTAGTTTAATGTCTGCTTTGAAAGGAGACCCTGGAATATGAACTTCCTCAAATAAAATGTTGATGAGATATTCACCAGCTTCATTTGGCAAATAAGAGACAGAACAGGTTCCATCCCCTCGATCTGAGCATTCAATTTTGGCTTCACATGGACCTTCCACGGTGAGACCCAGCCCACCAGTGCCAGCTCCTTTGGTATCTATGGTGAATTCAGCTGATTTGGCCACAAGACCATCTTTCAGTCCTGGTCCATAAGCTTTAACCTACAAAAGATGGTATGTTTACTACACAGTTTTGAGCATCTTAAATCAGTACATTAGTATGAAAAGGAAACTTGAGCTGCTTGTGCATTTCCCAGTTGAATACATTTACAATGTAAATCTGTTTGACTTTTATAAAGTGTAATAGCAAGCTTAAGAGTAATGTGCCCAAAATTTATTCGAAGGATAGGAAAATGCAAATTTCACCATGTTAAACAAACTGAAAGTTTACCTTTGAGGGATCTGGTGGAAGTATGGCTTCTAAAGTGAAGGGGCTACTTGGAACAGGATTCTCATCATAGGTGATGTCTACTGTGTAGACCCCCTCTTCCTTGGGGATGTACTTTACAACACTAGCATCCTTACTAACAATTGGTTCCACCACACAGGGCACAGGTTTCCGTGAAGGGCTGGAGATCTTCACATCCACTTTACCTTGTCCACCAGCTCCCTTTGTGTTTACTGTGAACTGCTGGTCTTTCCCAACTTCTACCCCTAAAAAGTGAAAGTTTTTGAAATAGACAATTATTTCATATGCAATAAATGCCATTTAGCATTTTCTTGATCTTCTAAAAATACACAAAGTTCTACTGCAGATCAAGAGAGAAAGTTATAGTTGAATGTTATCATTTCAGCTGCTAGACAGCTAGAAATTTATACACAGTACATTTTATGAGTAATGAATTATACCGACAAGGGTCTGAAAACTTCCAATTCAATACTGCATAAGTAACTTCATAATACTGAATATTATTAAAAGAACAAGTCAATAAATCTATAATAATAAATCTGCAGCCATGCTTCAATACCCATATACAATTGGAAATAAGTGTACATACTGTTTTCCAGGCCATTTATTGCAATTTTACTCAGGTCCAGTGGATAGGCTACTCCTACACTGAAGGGGCTCTTAGGAATTGGATCGCCACCATAGGTCACGGCAATTCCAACATTACCCTGCAAACACACAATTAGAATTGTTGGGAATACCACTTGGTTCATTACCCACACATCGGGTCTAAGCAGTTTCTGAAGCACGCTTGCTTTCAACCCTGAAAAAACATCAACCTAATGCATTGAGGACACTCACCTGCTGCAATGGAGTATACTTGACAGTGTGAGAGTAATCATAATTGTCAATTATTTCAAAGTTGCGGACAGCTTCTCCCTTTGCAGACCCAGTGAATTGCACATCAAGTGGGGCCTTCCCAGCACCCTTTGTGAACAGAGTAAAATGTGTTGGCTTCCCCAGCTCCACTCCTGGCCATAAACAAACATGGATACACAGCTTAAATTTCAATGCACATAGGTATGATCCCAAGCAAAATAATTAACTTTATATTAATAAAATTTAGATTTAAGAAAAATTTTCAGAATTAATTTTTACTCAGAATAACCTAGCACAGGGAGATGAAGATATGCCAATCGCGATCAAGAGTCCTACTCGGTGCTAGGGTAAGGGATATTTCGAAGCAGCTGAAAGGAATTTGGAAAGCGAGGAGAAAGAACCAGTTGTCGTGATCCATGTCAGGAAGAGGAAGGGGTCCTGGTGAGGGAATACCAGGAGCTAGGAACTAAATTAAAAAACAGGACCTTGAGGGAGGTAACCTCCGGATTATTACCCAAGCCACGTGCAAATTGGCATAGGGATAAACAAATCAGAAAAGTCAACGAAGCTGAAAAAGTTGTGGGAAGGAGGGGTTCCATTTTATGGGACACTGGTATCAGTACTGGGACAAGAAGGAGCTGTACTGCTGGGATGGGTTACAACTGAACCGGGCTGGGACCAAGATCCTAGCGGAAAGGATAAATAAGACTGTAGAATGGGATTTAAACCATTAAGGTTAACCACCGACTTCAATTTGGTATATTACAAAACCAGTACACACCCCTAAAACTCAAAAGCTCCACTTAGTTCAACAATCATGGTCAACAAATGAGGTAAGAGGTAGCATCAAACTAAAAGAAAAGGCTTACACTCATGTAAGAAAAAGTGAAAATCCAGAGATTAAATGAGTGGGCAGAACTGTGATGGATGGAATTCAATGTGGGGAAGTGTGAGGTCATCCACTATGGATCCAAAAATAGCGAACCCGAATATTTTCTAAATGGTGAGAAACTAAGAATTGTGGAGGAGCAAAGGGATTTGGGTGTCCACAAACAATCACTAAAAACAAGCTCACACGTAGAAAAAGTTATCAAAAAGACTAATGGGATGGCCCTTATCTCAAGGGGGCTGGTATATAAAGGAGAGGAAATGATGCTTCAACCGTATAGAGCCTTGGTCAGACCCCATCTGGAGTACTGCATTCAATTTTGGGCACCACACCTCAGGAAGGATATATTGGGGCGCAGATTCACCAGAATGATACCAGGGATTACACGGTTAAATTATGAGGCCAGGTTACAACATGTTGGTCTCTATTCCCTTGAGTCTAGAAGGTTGGGGGAGTGATCTAATTGTTTTTTTAAATAAAGGGATTTGATAGGGTAGATAGAGAAACTATTTCATCTGGTAGGGTAATCCAAACCAAGGGGTCATAACTTGAAAATTAGAACGAGGCCATTTAGGAGTGAAATCAGGAGGAAGTTTTACACCCAAAGGATAGTGGAAATCTGGAACTCACTCCTCCAAAGGGCTGTGGATGCTGGATCCTTTCACATTTTCAATACTGAGGTGGATAGATATTTGTTAGGTCAGGGTATCAAGGGATATGGGATAAGGGCGGGTAATTGGAGTTGAGGTACAGATCGCCCAGAATCTTATAGACTGGCGGAACAGGCTCAAGGGGCTGAATGGCCTACCCCTGTTTCTATGTTTCAATTCCATAGAAACCCCCCAGAAAAACTGGTCTCAAACTCCAGAAAAAGCACACATTAAATATCCATTGCTGGACCATCTCACTGAAGAGCACATTGTGGTCCAACAGCTAAAATTTACTGATTTAATTTCGAGAGAATCTGGGGTGTTCACAAAACTGAATTTAGGTATGCCTCAATGGCAATAGATTAAATTCACCCACAGGCAAGGGCACTCACAAGATAGAATGCAAAGATGTCTCAAATTTATTAGATTCTCTTGTTTCTTCCACTCACCTCCCCATTTTATAACAGTAATTCTCACTTTTTTGACCTGGAGAGCTTGGATAAAATAGCACTGCGGAAGCCATACAAGGAAATAACCTTTCCAAGTATTTCAACAGTTTATTAACTTTTAGCCTTGAATGAAAACTATTTGGCTCTAAAAGCAGGATAGTTAGCTACAAAACCCGACTGAAAAGCTAACGCAAGCTGACATTGTACATCCTTCCAGTAATGGAAGGCTATATATTTACCAGTTTTATTCAATCCAGGTCCTTCAGCTTTAACTTTGCTGGCATCATGAGAGGGCTCCACTTTAACCCTGAAAGGGCTGATGGGAATTTCCTGTTGAACACAAACAACAACACAACATTTGCATAGTATCAACAGTGCTGGACAGTCAGGGATTTGGACCCGAGTAGGGGCTTGGGATCTGGAGGGGTCAAGGCCAGGGAGGATAGGAGAAGGGTGACCAAAGTTGTGGTCAGAGGGTCTTGAGACATGCCTTGAAGGTGGCAAGGGAGAGAGCAAGGTGAAGGCACCGTAGGATGGACTTCCAGAGGGATAGGGACAGAGAGGCTGGAGGCCGCACCAACAAGATTCCATTCATAGAGCACCTTTCACGTCGGGAGGGCGTCCCAAGGCGCTGGACAGTTGGGTCGGGACCCGAGCAGGGGGGAAATGGTCAGGATGAGGGGAGGGAAGGGAGGGAGCGAGGAGGGGGTAGAGTCGAGAGGGGAGCTGAAGGCACAGTTGAAGAGAAAGGTCTTGAGACTGGCCTTGAAGGAGGAAAGGGAGGAAGCAAGGCGAAGGCACTGGGGGATGGAGTTCCAGAGCCTAGGGGCTGAGAGGCTGAAGGCTGGCCACCGATGGTAGGGTGGTTAGGGCGGAGGATGTGGAGCAGACCGGAGCCAGAGGAATGGAGGGTACGGGCAGGTAAGTAGGTCGGAGAGAGCAAGGCCGTGAATGGCCTTGTAGGTGAGGATGAGGATCTTGAATTCGATCCTCTGGGGGATGGGGAGCCAGTGGAGGCGAGCGAGGGTGGGAGTGATGTGGTCGCGAAGCCTTAGTTAGCTGGACTTGGTTACTGAAAGAACCAAGAGGCAGACAATTTTCAGACAAGGTACAAACCTCCCCAGCAAACAGCACTTTAATGGTGTAGCGTCCAGAAGCTGGTGGCACATATTTCACTGTAAAAGTATCATTAGGGTTTGTAATGATTTCAAAATCAATGTCCTCCTCAGATTCACCAAGTACATGAGCGTCACACTTCACACCAACACTGACATCACCTGAAAGCAAAGATAGAAATTCTTCAGCTCCTCCAATTTTGTGCATTATAATTTAATGAAGCACTTCTTCCTTCACATTGGTAAACTGCAAATTTATGGCACAGGAATATCACTTATAGAACCAGCCCAGCATTTTTCTCAATAATTTGCAGAATACCTGCTTTGAGACTAGTCATACTTCAATGATAATCAATCAAACTTCTGAAAGTTCCATCCTCAACAAATCCAGCCTCAGGTCTTAGGCTATCATCACGCTAACACAAAAAACACCACTATAGTTCTTAGGTGAGGAGTATGGAAGAGTAAAGGTAAGGGAAACATAAGTTCTAACACAAGGAAAATCAGATTGAATGCCATTTTCTCACCTTCTCCAGCTTCTGAGCAATCCACAGTAAAGTGAGTGGGTTCATTTGCTTTCAAACCAGACCTCTCCACACCAGGACCAAACACCTTGACCTTCTGGGGATGACTTCCCTGACCAATATTAACCTGAAAATACAGGATTAAGTGAGTGGAATATACCATACAGCGTCTTGAGGCCCTAGAATAATATTGGAGGTAGTTTTGGGATCATTATGCACAAAACAAACTCACTGATCCAAATACAATGAGATACAATGGGTTGAAATTTCACTTTCTACACAAGTACTGTGCACTAAGGGGAAAACCCAGTTAGTTATCGAAAGTTGAATTCTTAGTTATGTGATCATCACAGCATTGCTGTAAAATTCACAGCAGCAGATTCCTGCTAAGCTGATTAGAATTCAGAAGAGTGTACATTGAAAGGCAAATACCATCACAGCTCTTACCCTGAAGGGACTTTGTTGTACATTAACTCCACCCCAGGAAACTGCAACAGTGTGCTTGATCGGTTTGGTTGGAGTGTAGGAACAGGCAAAGATTCCATCACCTTTGTTCTTTATGTGAACATCTATCGGAAAACCCTCAGAATCCTGTGAAGGGGAAAAACCAAAACAACTAACATTTTAAAACAAGACTAACTTATTTTCCCAAGAAGCCAATCAACAGCATTCAAACCCCCCCCCAGAGATCACCTCAGAAGACTAGCACCAAAATGATGGGCATTAGGAAGCTTGACAATCCAAGTTTTTGCTTAAGACTGCCAGCTGTCCAAGATTAATTTAGAACAGCAGCTTTCCAGATCCAGCTTTTAATAGAGGACAAGTTGCTACCCTTTGCAGTTTTATGCACTCCATGAGCTTCCATAATGAAGTTGAACAAGCACATTCAACCCAAGTGGAAATCCCAAAACATTTGAGGCAACCCAAGGGTTAACTCACTGCATCAATAACTTCAAACCCTGATATCACCAATGCCAGATTAACATTGCTGCATAACAAGAAATTTGCTTGTTTTGGAAGATGAGGAGCCTTTTATTTTTACAAACAGTAATAACAATAATTCTTGCATTTGATATAGCGCTTTTCACGTCTCCTAGACGCCCCAAAGCGCTTCACAGAATATACTGTAAAGTGAATTGACTGTATATTTGTGGGCGAACGCGGCAGCCAATTGCCACAGCAATGTCCCACAAACAGTCATGGATTGAAAATGACCAATTTATTATTGTTTTGTTTTTTTGGAGGGATTATTATTAGGCGTGTGGAGTAAGGAAACTTGCCCAAGGTTTCGCCCTGCCTGGAATTGAACTCAGGTCTCTCACTTGCAAAGCGAGTGCTCTAACCACTGAGCTACAGAACTCCACATTACAGTACATTAAGTGCCCTTAAAATAAAGGTTAAAAAGCTGCACCAAGTTAAAATTATTTTTAATATAAAGAGTTTTCTTACTTGGGCATAGATTTTTAAGGGTACCTTCCCAGCAGCCTTAGCATCAACTATGAACTCAGCTGGTTTGTGAACAATACAGCCAGTCTTCTCCAAGCCAGGACCATAGGCTTTAACCTGGAAGGAGATAATTATTAGGATTAGTCATTGGTTTAATAAATTGTACTTCAATAGATCCCTCGCCACATTTTACCATATTTTAAGCATTTAATTTGGAGCATTTTTAAGCATTTAATTTGGAGTTTTGAAAAAATTATCAAACAGGCATGACATTTAATCACACAATCAGATTTCAGTATATTACTGTTGTTTACAAGCAATAGCTTAATTTCACCCATGTACAAGCAAGTTTTCTGCTTGCTACTGTCAATCACCAAAGTTCAGGATATGGTTCCCAAAGAACAAAATTGAAACATATGTTACTCTTCTAATGCAAACAACTAAATAAGTCACTGACATGGGCCAATTTACCTCAAAAAAAATTCTTCACCCCCACCCCAACTCCCAAGCCACTAGGATACAACAACAAGTTGCACTTATATAGCGCCCTCTACGCCGGGTGGCATCTCAGAGAACTTAATGAGGGAGCCCAGGGCTGAAGGGAAAGGTGACCGTAGGCGTGGTCGGAAAAGGTGAAGGAGAGGCGATCATGGAGCACTTTGTCGGCCTCTTCAGGGTTGCTGCGGGTGGAAGGCCAGAGGGATAGGAGGTCTGAGGGTGAGAGGGCCTTTGTGAGGGTCTCAGGGGGAAGTCTTTTCCATGGGTGGAAAAGTATGGTTGAGGTCTTGATGGAGGGGAGAGGGATGCGAGAAGGAGATGAATAAGTGGTCTGAGATGGCCTTGTCCATGATACACAGGTTAGAAATGTCGAGGTCATATGTGATGACAAGGTTGAGGGGGTGGTCACGATTGTGGGTCGGAGAGTTGAAGTGGACGGTGAGGTTTAGGGAGGAGGAGAGGAGGGCTGTGAAATCCGAGGAGGTGGTGCAAGGGGAGTTTAGGTGGAGGTTAAAGCCGCCCATTATGAGCAGAAGGACAGGGAGGAGAGGGGAGATATCGGAGAGAAAGGAGCCAGGGGGGTTTTGGGGGGCTGTAAACCAGGAGAATTTTGAATGAGAGAGAAGGGATGATAGAGGGTGAGGTGCTGAAACAGCCAGAGGAATAAGGGAATAGGATCAATAGAAGTTTGGGAGATGAGGGCCACCCCGCCACCATGTTGGCTAGGCCAGGGGGTGTGATGGAAGGAGGGGAGGCTTCAACTAGTGGGGAGTCACTGGGGGAGAGCCAGGTTTCCAAAAGCCCAAGAATATCCATGTGCTCATCCAGGATGAGGTCACAGATAGTGAGGGCTTTATTGGCGAGGGAGCGGACATTTTGGAGTGAAATGCGGATAGGTTTGCTGGTGGGGGAAAACGGAGGAGAGAGTGGTATAAAGAGGTTTTGAGGTCATGGGGGAGAAATGATCATGGTCTTTGAGGAGCAGGGAGTGTTGGTATGGATGAGGGAGGGTGAATGAGTGTTTGCCTTTCAGAAGTGGTTGCTGCGGAGAGAGTTAGTGATGGACAGTTGGGGTGGCTGCTCTGGGACAACCAACGCTGGGAGCCACGATGGGCCTGGCGGAGGATGCCCAGGCTGGAGCAGAGGGAGGTAATGGTGGAGTTCAGGAGAGACAGAAGGCGAGGAGGGTGGTGGGAGAGAAGGACAGAGTGGGAATAGTGGATAGAGGGGGGGTAGGAGGGATACAGGATCAAGAGTCACGCACGTTTGTTCCATTCTTAAGGGTGATGAGGGGGGGGGGGGGGGGGGGGGAAGGAAACATTGCACCACTCAAACTCTCCCCCACTCCCAGCCCCACCCCACCAAACAGCCAATTAGATTTATTGAAAACCATAGTTCTCACCTTGTCAGAATTGGAAGTATTTAAGGCAAGTTGGATGTTGGCCATGAATGGACTATCCTTAATATCCTCATCGTCACACAAAACATGCACTGCATATTCACCAGGTTCTGTAGGCCAATAGCGCACATCGCAGGAGCCATCAGCCTTGTCATCACATTCAATCTTTGCTTGAGAGGGCCCTTCAACTGCAAAACCTAGGACACCACAGATGCAAGTCATTTTCCAAAGTTCCAATTTACATTAAACATTTACTAAATCCTCCATGAGCTAACAGTGCTTTTTGGGAATTTTTATATAAACTTGTACATTGGAAAAGACAGTACTTGTGTGCTCCAAGTCAGGTCAGTGATCCTATTGCAATATTGTATGTTGAAAAGTGTATGTTTAGTAAACTCACCCAACACACCAGCATCTGTTCCTATAGTTTCCACCAGAAAATCTGCTGACTTGCCAACAATTCCTCCCTCCAGGCCTGGCCCCCAGGCACGGATTTTTTGAGGTCCTGCTTCAGGGTCAACCTGAACTTCAAATGGACTAATGGAACAAAAACATACCAGTCACTGTAGTTCATAGCAGTCAGGAAAAAGTTTTTAATTGGCACAGCCCAACTTGCATTGTTTTCCCATTACATTCAACACAAGACTTACAAATTCTGGTAGTTCCTGGAAACCATCCAGTTCCAGCTCACTGACAATACTCAGGCACAACTTAAACTAGCACCAGCTTCACACAGCCCAAGAGGGATTGCAAATAAATTAACGCCAGTTCTTCCAACATGCAAATATAATCTCCTTCGTTAGAGAAATGAAACGTAGAAGCTCCATTCATATACAGTAAGACACTATACCTACAACTCAATGTTGACAAGACAGAAGCCATAGTCATTAGCTCCAGTCAACTCTTACGGCTACAACTCTGACCTTCTCAACAACCTCCCAGGCCTATCCCTCAGACTTACCGAACCAGTGCGTAACCTAGACTTCAGATTCAACCCACAGCTGTCCTTCCTTCCCCACATCCAGTCCCTGACCAGGACCTCCTTCCTCCACCACATCTCTGACCGTACCTTACCCCAGATGCAGTCGAAACACTTGTCCGTGCTTTCATCAACTCCCGACTCGAATTCTCAAATGCCATTTGCCAGTCTCCCCAGCTCCACCATGCACAGCATCCAGCTGATCCCAAACTCCGCCACCTGCATACTCACCTGCACTAAACTCCATACCCCCATCACACCAGTTCTAGCCAAAAGCCACATCACCGAACAGATCAATTTCAAGATCCTGATATTTGTTTTCAAATCCCTTCATATCCCGGCATATCCCTACCTCTCCCATCTGCTTACCCCCCAACCCACAACCCACTGCCTCCACTCGACTGGCTCCAGCCTTCTGCATGTCCCTCATGCCCTCCGTTCCACCATTGGGGCTGCGCTTTCAGCAACTATGCCCCGAAACTCTGGAACACTCTTCCTCTATCCCTCCACCTTGCCCCTTGGTTTTCCATCTTCAGTTTGTGCCTGAAGACCTTCCTATTCGACAATGCCTACGGTGCTCCACCACTGCCAAGCGCCCTGGGATACTACCCTGTGTGAGGGACGTCATAAAAATACAAGAAGTTGTTATTGTAGAGCATGGGTCCATTCAACCAGAGTTCCAAGAAAACCCACGCTCAACTAGGATGATCCTTGCATATGGAACCACATAGGGATACATGCAGAAGGATACATGCAGTTGTAGCACAACTTACTGGAGTTAAGACCCCCACAACTCAACAGTACGATGTCAGAGAAATTCACTTAGAAACTGAATATGAAACATTGCTCCAATTAATTCAATCCTACAACAGTTCGGAACAAGACTATTTTAGAAGATATAACTGGAATTACAATGGAGTGTTTTATTCTAAGATGGATGAACAAGTGTTTAAATAATTCAGTTTTTAAATCCTTGCATTTTGGAAGTTTGTTTCAAGCTCACTAAAGCACTGAATCTCAGGTTTGCTGCACTCACCTCCTGGGAATGTTATGGCCTCCCCAAGTGATGGTAACAATGTGTTTCCCAGGAATAATGGGGTAGTACTCATAGGCATAGGTAAAGGAATCCCCCATATCCTGAGTCTTTTGCTTCACAGGCTCCTCCAGTCCTTCTATCGGGGAGAAGAATCAACATGAAGTTAGGTTATTAAACACCAGTTTGGACAAACCCGCATCATTAATCATTTCAAGGCTGCCTTACCAGATGGCCCTGATGAAAACCAAGTAAAATATACAAGCAAGGTTGTTTATTGCTTTTTCTTCTGTAAATGTGACCACATGAGGACATTAAAATAACTATTATAACAGAATTACACTATTTTGAAGAGACTGGTAATATTTTTCCATTCACTATAGTCAATTGAACCATTCCTAAAACAAATGAAAATAATATCAGCAATGCACCAGAACACGAATCAAGATTGGAAAGGCTTCTTAAAATGTTAATTTAACCTTCAATTTTGACAACCCTCAAACAACAACTTATGGTCTCAAAGCACTTTACACATCTGATTAAGTCCGAGCTTTGGTGGGAGGAAGGAAAGAGAAGAGGGAAGAAGGCAAAGTGACTAGTAACTATATTCTCACCCACTGAAGTGTAGAGATAGAAGATTTGCAGAGATAAGATGGGGCAATAGAAAAGCGAGAAGCCTGAATTTGATCCACTGGGGATGGGGAGCCAAGCAAAGATGGGAGGGATGGGTTCATAGCCTAGTATGGGAGAGGAACTTACTTGGTCCCTTCACCACAACATGCAGGTCACCACTTCCAGCTGCTTTGGTGTCAACTTTGATGCCTGCAACTTCAAGAATTCGGAGGCCTTTAGGCTGTAGGCCTCGTCCAGTGGCACGACAGGCATTGGGATTGCAAGCTAGAGAAACAAAAGATTTGTACGCATTAATAGGACTTAATGTATTTTTCTAAAAAAAAGCACAATAAAAAAAACTTAACCCTGAAACTTGAAAGTATAGACTGACAGAGTTAAGTAAAGCTGCAAAGAATAATTCTAAACTACACTCGTGTTCCAATTCAATTTTTAAAAAAAAATGATGCACATTATTGTTTTGGCCTCTTATAGAGGTCTTGGGTGCCAAGAAATTTTATGTACAACACAAATTTAAAAGTTTTACATCTGTGCTGAGTTAATAAGAAAAATATTTAGCAACAATCAGAAAAATACTGATCCAAAAACATTTCCTGCACTGGGAGTATAAAGCTATGCATGCTCGCACAAAGCAACAGTAAGAATTTGAGCCTTAATGTTAATTCAAGTCCTAGTGTTGGACTAGTACACATTCATAAATGCAGTTAACAAGTCAAACCGTGTGTGATTACATGCAGAATAGGGTCAGGCTGATTTTCTCCTCTTGACCTCAGATGTTGACCAGCTTTTCCCCTTCTATGAAGGTACAGTTCCACAGAGCACCTTACCCTAGAGACCACTAAGCTCAAACCATGGCAGGACATTTGACCACAAAAGGGCATTGGAGCTAAACTAGACCCTGCTCTCAAATGTATGCAGTCACTTCTTGTAAAGTTTAAGCAGTAAACTTGCATATAAATGACACTTTCCATAAGGAACCTCAGCTTTTGAGCCAGTATACAAAGTACTTTCGCAGTCATAAGGGTTTTACACAATAAGTAACCGACATACTGGGAATCAGTGAGCAGCCTAGTGCCGTTGGGGAAAAAACTGCCCAATTATTAAACTTTTAGGGGGATCCTCCTGCATTCTCCCAAATGTAGAAAAAAGTGTTACTCTAGTACTAAATATCAACTTCAAGCAACTAAATTATAAGAAACAATTTTTTAAAAAAAGTTCCAAGTTCCACATCATGAAAAACCTTCAGTTGAGTGAAAAGAACTTAAATTCTAGGTACGAGACATACCAACCCTTTAACTGGTCCCTCCACCAAGTCTTCAACTATGATCTGGTAGGATTCAATTAATAGTCTAAAGTTTGTTTCTTTCATGAGGCAGTACATTTTTTCTACACATGAACAGTAAGGAAGATTTAATAATAATGCTTAAAGGAAGAATACATCAAAGGAGTTGTGCTTTATACATTTTGTGGAAAGAAAACATCCTATGATTTGGCTAATCACACTACTAGTGTAACAAATAGCACAATGGTTGAACGTCTAACAATTTTTATAACAATTTATGCTGTTTAATAGTGCTGGGGGGGGCTTTTGCATTATGCAATAGTTATGAATGATTACCAGCAGAGCATCCATTTACACTTAGCCACATCGCCGAAGACCAACTTGGTGCATCAGTATCTGCCAATAAGCTGTTGCAAAATCAAGTTAAGCCATTTATAGTAAACCAATGTAGCAAGTCAGTCATCTTTGAGTGAATGCACTGGAAAACGTATATAAATGGAATTTGAGTCCCACATTTCGGAACATCGAGGCTGTAGATTCATTCTACATTTCTCCAGAAACCGCCATCATACAGTAAACGGACTACAGATGCAAAATCAAATAACTTCCAGTTGCCAGAATTTGCTTTAAGTGTTATTTTGTTGGAAAATACTTAACACCTTCCAGTTTCATTGCTATGAGTCAGCCAAAAAAAAACCTGATTTTAAAAATCCCTAATGGAACTCAAATACAAGTTAGATTTATAATCACTCCAAGGCATTTTATATTCTTATCCCTTCCCATGTACAAGCCAACTGTGGCATCTTCAGTACACACTGCAAGTTCCCCATCTCTGCAGCAAGTCTACCCTGGCCATAGCTAACAGACCAGATTGAATAGCTGAAGTCAAAAGAAACCCATTACAATGCAGTCAGTTGAGAAACTGACGGCAATAAACAGAAATTACTGGAATAGCAAATTTAAAATGTCACATTAAATCAAGTAATTTATAAAATTATCCACCTTCACCGACGGTAACAGAATATGGGCTCTTTGGAATCTGCGTGCCAACAAAGCTAATCCTGATTGTGTGCAGTCCTGCTTGCACAGGTTTGTAGCTGCAGCGAATGACATTGTTCCCCTTGTCTTCAACAGTTACTTCAATGTTTTTGCCTCGAGGATCCAGTATGACCACTGAAACATCACCTATGCCAGCACCTACAAACAAAAGTCAATACTCAAGCCATTAAAGTAGCTCTGTCCAATTATCATACTCAAGCCCTTATACAACTGATACAAATTACCATTAAGGATACCAATGCATTGGCCATCACCGTGTTAGTCTGCTGACTAGGTACACAGGATTGACCACTTCACTGTATTTTCTCTGGACTCAATTCAGTGAGATGAGATTGCAATGTATACATGTTACACCAGTTGCATCTATATTTAAGATAAATATAGATGGTTACATTATAGTTAAAGCCAAGTTTTGTATTGCACTGGAGAACATTATAATCTCCAAAACTGTTTTGCAGCCAGTTACAGAAGTTTATTAAAACAACAAAATTACATTTATAGAGCGCCTTTCAAGTCAGGTGGACATCCTAAGACGCTGGACAGTCAGTAGTCAGGACCCAAGAACAGGGGAGGGGTGAGGGAACGCAGAAAGGTGCGTGGGCGACTGAAGGCATGATCGAAGAGGAGGGTCTTGAGACTGGCCTGGAAGGAGGCAAGGGAGGAAGCGAGGCGAAGGGACTGTGGGATGGAGTTCCACAGTGTGGGGGCAGAGAGGCTGAAAGCCCGGCCGCTGATGGTAGGGTGGGTCGAGCGGGAGCCATGGAGCAGGCCGGAGCCCGCTGAACGGAGGGAACGGACAGGTTGGCAGGGAGTCAGCAGATCAGAGAGGTAGGAGTTCGCCTCGCTTCCTCCCTTGCCTCCTTCAAGGCCGGTCTATTCGATCGTGCCTTTGGCCTCCCTCCCACCTCTCTGCCTTCCCTCACCCCTACACCACCCCTCCCCCATGCTCGGGTCCTGACATCTGAGTGTTCAGTGCTTTGGGACGTCCCCCCGACGTGAAAGGCGCTCTATAAATGTAATTTTGTTGTTGTTGATGTGACAAATGCCTGAGTGAGGGGTGAGGCAGTGGCGGAGTCTGGCAATGTTGCGGAGGTGGTGGTAGGCATTGCCAGTCATGGTGTGGATGTGGGGGGGTGAAAGGACAGTTCAGGGTCAAAAAAGATATCCAGGTTCCTGACTGGCTGAGTGAGGTTGAATGTGCAGCCGTGGAGGCTGATGCTGCCAGTGCCCGAAGTGCGGAGGCGCTGGCGCAAGCCAATCAAGAGGGCCTCGGTTTTGCTGACGTTGAGTTGGAGAAAATTGTCCCTCATCCAGGACTTGATGTCGTACAGGCAGTCGGTCAGGACCTCAGTAGTCCTGGAGTTCAGGGTGGAGGCAGAGATAGAGTTGGGTGTCATCCGCGTATATGTGGAAATTTACCCCATGTCTGCGGATGACATCACCAAGGGGGAGCATGTAGAGGGTGAAGAGGAGGGGACTGAGGACAGAGACCTGAGGAACACCACACAAGACAGTGCGGGGGCTGGAGCAGAAGCTGTTTGCTGAGACAAAGTGGAGGCGATGTGAAATGTAGGACCTGAACCAGTCAAGGACAGAACCTTGAAGGTTGAGGTGGGAGGAGAGGTGATGGAGGAGGATTGAGCGGTCCACGGTGTCAAAGGCGGCAGAGAGGTCGAGGAGGCAGAGGGAGCCCTGGTCACACATGGTCAGGATGTCGTTTGTGACCTTAACCAGAGCAGTTTCCGTGCTGTGGGCAGCACGGAAACCCGAATGGAGGGGCTCATGGAGGGAGTGAGAGGAGAAAGAGCGAAGCTGGGAGGCAATGGCTCTCTCAAGGACCTTAGACAGAAAAGGGAGGTGGGGCAGTCGGTAGCTGGATAGCTGTGATGGGTCAAGGGAAGGTTTTTTCAAGGTGGGGGTGATAATGGCTGTTTTGAGGGAGAAAGGAACAATGCCAAATGACAGGGAGAGGCTGATGATGTCGGCGAATAGTGGGGCAAGGAGGTGAAGCTGGGATTTAAGGAGAGGATGGGGTCCAGGGAGTGTGGGGGGTAGGGAGAGGATGGAAGTTGGGGGGAGAGCTGAGCAGATTCTCTCGATTTTGGATTTGAGGAAGTCCAGCATTTCCTCGCAGTGGGAGTCGGAGGATAGAATCTGTGAGGCGTGGCAGGGACCATTAGGCCAGATTTGAGCCAAGTGCAGCCCTCACCTGGCCCTTGAGTGAGCGGAGGTGGCTGGTGAACCAGGGTGAGGATCAGGAGTAGGAGGCAGTTCGGGAGGTGAAGGCAAAGGTGTTGAGTGTGGTGGAGAGAATGCTGTGGAGGAGAGTAAACACAGAGGATGGGTTAGTGCAGGAGTTCAGAGGACTCCTCCAGGGCAGCGGAGAGGGATTGCGCGGAGATCTTCTTCCACGGGCAATAGAAGATGGTGGTAGCTTTGGGGAGATGGATGTAGGAGTTGAAGGAGATGAACTGGTGGTCAGAGTTGGCATTGTCGGTGATGGTGACATTCGAGATGCTGAGGCCCTGGGTAATCACCAGGTGAGCGGGTGGCCGTGAACATGGGTAGCAGAGTGGATGTGGAGGGAGAGGTTGAGAGAGGAGAAGTTTGAGGAGGTGGAGCAAGAGGGGCTGAAGTAAAAAGTGGTATTTTAAACTGATTGGCACTGAAGACCCACCTGCTGTGTAGACGTCAAAATAGGTTGGCTTATTGGCAATGTTTCCTGCAGTTTCCAGGCCAGGTCCTCGCGCAGTCACCTTACTTGCATCACCTTGAGCTTTGTCAATGCTCACCTCAAAGGGGCTCTTAGATATGTGTTGCCCAGCAAACAGAACCGTAATCTGCAGACAAACCAGTGTGTGAATGGTGTACTTGAGGTATTCATAGGATGTCTGCCTTTCCAACAATCTTGAACATTTGCAGTAATTTGTTCAATTTACCACATTGGTGTAAGCATTAGAATTTGAAGTAAATTTTACCTCAATAGCACCATGTACCTTGTTAGTGTCAAGACCAAGCATTTTGCCACAACTACAGCCATACGGTGTGAATAGAATTACCGCCATATTCTGAAACAATCCAACTAAAAAAATAAATTATGCTGATTATACTTCTCTCTCACCTTGTGTATTCCTGCAACCTTTGGCACATAAACCACTGAGTAAGTCTTGTTCTTGTCATTGTTGTTGGTCACCTTTGCCTGACAGGTTGAACAAGAATATGAGCAATGTTATAATTAAAGAGCATTGTCTTGCTATAAATCGCATCAATAGACTTTGTCTCAGCACTAACAGGCAAATGACCATTCAAACTTGTAAGTTCTATAGAGCTCCAAATGATAGAAAAATAGGAGTCCAGGATACAGCCCAGACCATACTAGTTTAGACATTTTTGGACTATAAGTCAACACAGGTCAATGTTTGTTAATATAGTAGAAACCAGTTAGAACATGCTTTGGGCAATATACTGAAATTTACTTACCAAAAATCTAAAATGTGCGCAAAATGAGGTCCATCTTCCAGGTCACCAGATTGCACCATTATGTGAAGGTGGAAAACCCAATGACCCAGCAGATTTTTTTTAAAAAAAATGGGCACTTTACATACATGTGAAATGCTGGCCAGCAATCACACAAATTACATTGGTTAGGATTTTATGGATCCTAATCATAGTTACAATGGGTGAGGTAATGTTGAATTGCTGCCAGACATAAAAAAAGTACCTCTTCCCTTTGACATTCTGGATCCTCCACAAAGACGATCACTTCACCTTTCCCAGCACTGATTGTTTCAACAGTAAACATAGCAGGACGCATCACAACATTACCCGTGGGCTCAATTCCTACAAGAATCAAATCAGATTTAGAGCCAGCAGGTGAGGATTACACAATATACATAACGAGTGACCGCACAGAAGTCAAAGCATAAATGAAACTGAGTGCAAAGACAATGGTTTGGGTTACTGTTTTGCAGCTCAGTTATAAAGGACCAGAATATCAATTAACAAAAAAAATCAGCAGATATATGCATCGACTGCAAGCAAGGCTTGCAAAACCCAATAGATACACTTCATTGCAATCAATCATCCATCCAAATGTTGGCTGAACATTCAATTTATGAATGAATCAACATCAAAGCAGTGCCATGTCAAGCATGGAATAGAGTGGAAAATCAACTCATGTATTCTTGCAATGGTAATTGGTATTTTTACTCTTTAGAGAATTGTGCTTAGCTTTGTGAACATCTGCCAATGGCAGGAGTAAATCCTTAGGTTAGGGATCTGGGAATCGAATAAACTTGTTGATTAAATTAGATATGGACAGCAAGACAGATAGCTACAAGTTCTGTTATATATTCCTACCTGGACCATAAGCTCTGGCTTTCTTAGGATTCAACTTAGGTTTCAAGGGAGCTCCAGGTTTAAGCTTGGCCTTGGGGAACTGTGAGAAGTAGGTCATTACAGAATGCTCATCTACATCTGGGTGTATGATTTCCTCTGGGGTAATCACCTGAAACACAAGATTAGGAATCATAGAATATCACAGCACAAAAGGAGGCCATTTGGCCCATCACGCCTGTGCCAGTTCTTTGGAAAAGCTACCCAATCACTTCCACTCTGGCTCGTTCCTCATACCCTTGCAATTTTTTCCTTTTCAAGTACCTCTCTTAATTCCCCTTTGAAAGTTGTTATTGATTCGGTTTCCACCACCCTTTGAGGCAGTGCATTCCAGACCGTAACAACTCTGTAAAAAAAAATTCTCCTCATCTGCCCTCTGATTCTTTCGCCAATTATCTTAAATTTATGTCCCCTGGTTACTGACCCACCTGCCTGTGGAAACAGTTTCTCCCTATCTACTCTTATCAAAACCCCTCATAATTTTGAACACCTTCTCTGTTCGAAGGAAAACAATCCCAGCTTCTCTAGTTCTCCACATAACTGAAGCCCTTATCCCTGGTACCATTCTGGTAAATCTCCGCTGAACCCTCCCCAAGGCCTCTCCAAGAATGAACTGCATTTCAACACATCAGGCTCTTAGTGCAAAAGATATTCACATTCACAAAAGGCTCTGGATCTTCCTCCCAATGAGACGTTTTTCCCTATGTGAAACACCCAAATGTCTCAAAGTAGCTTTAGATCTCAACCAATATTAATATACATCTTAGTTGCACACAATCTAAGTGGTGGAATGGCAGGTGCAGCTTCTACTTCCAACTCAGAATCCCAGAGAGACAGGCTACATAATGACCTCCCTGATGCAGTATGCACTGATGCAATATGCATCTCCTATTGCAACTGATATTCAACAGTATGGCGCACCTAGCAGGTTTACTTGCAATACTTCATTTTACCTGGGGCACTCCAAGCCAGTCATCTGCTTGCTGCATAGCTTCGCGAGCATTGTCTACAGGTTTGTTGGGATCCCAAGCCTCCCAGTCAGGGCACAGACCTAAAGGAGAAAAACATTTCATAGAGTTACTTATGAGCAGTGACTTCCCAACCTATAAATTGGTTATCTCCACAATAGAGCAGCAAGCAGAAGCCAGGCACTCCAAAAGTAGGTTAGGGGAAGAAAAAGGTTGGTCTTGAGCAGTTAGCTCAAACTGGAAAGCTGGCAAAGGTCTGAATAAAATATTGACCTGAGATTCTTCTCAGTTAACTTCAAGATCCTGGTGTTGAAATGTTTTTAAAAAAACTTGGAAGACTTTTCTGCAATTCAAGAACCAACTTCTAAATTTGGAATTTGAGAATGTCACAATCCTGTGCAATCTGACTAAATAGTCAAGACAGGTTAATAATCCTTGAATTTGATATAGAGTTTTATCACATCTTCGAGATATCCAAAATCGCTTCACAGAATATACTGCAAAGTGAATTGACTGTATATTTTATGGGTGAAACAGTTAAAACTTAACCTTGCGTATTTAACCGTTAGGGAGGAAAGAAGGAAAAAGTGAGAAAGTGCAAGGATCAACATCCATAATAAAATCTGCAAAACATTCAATATTAATACCTGGGGCACAGCTGTCAACCAGGGCACCCAATGCCTTTCCACTTCTCCAGTCTTTGTTGAAGTTAGTGATCGGCAGGTCAGGAAGCTTATTCTGAATCCAACCAAGCAACCTTTGTTTAGGTGTCTGGTTCTTTGTCTCTTCGGTTTCTTCATCATCCCATACTGGCATGGAAATTGAGTAGTGAAGAATCAATGTCCATATGAGTCCTAAAATGAGTTTCAGGTTCCCATCTACAATGGCTTTGCTGTCTGCAGAAAGAGCACATATTACAATGGTAAGTCTGAAGAAAAAAAACTTCAAGTACCTTGGAAAACTGGTAATTTCCAGAATAAATGGTTAATGTTAGCAACATATCACAAGTAACTCTGCTCAAGTATGAGTATGTTTTAGTATGAGCATCTGGTTAACCACAGGCATTAACCAAGTCATTAAAAAAGTCAACAAGTGAACAAATGTGCTCTACATTAACAAGTGGACTTCAACCTGGATAAACCGCCGATTAAATAATAAACTCATGAAATGAATTGCCTTTTTAGGTGCCAATTCTTCAGCAGCATTTTGCTGTCATTTTGCAAATTTCTAATATAAGTCAATAATATTAGCATTTGCCAAGGTCGATACATAGGAACTAGGAGTGGGAGTAGGCCATTCAGCCCCTCGAGCCTGCCCCGCCATTCAATATAATCATGGCTGATCTTCTAACCTAACTCCATCTGCCAGTCTTATCCCCGTATCCCTTAATCTCTCTATCCTTTAGAAACCTATCAATCTCAGTCTTGACTATGTTCAAGAACTCAGCATCTACAGTCTTCTGGGGTAGAGAATTCCATAAATTCACTACCCTCTGAGTGAAGAAGTGTTTCTTCAACTCTGTTCGAAAAGGCTGACCCTTAATCTTAAAACTGTGACCCCTACTTATAGATTCTCCTACCAGGGGAAAGTCTCACACTGTCTACTCGGTCAAGCCCCATAAGAATCTTATAGGTTTCTATAAGATCACCCTTAATTCTTTCTATATGCTAGAGAATATAGACCTAGTTTACTCAACCTATTATCATAGGTCAACCCTCTCATCCCAGGAACTAACCTAGTGAACCTACTCTGCAATCCCTCTAAGGCGAGTATGTCCTTTCTTAAATAAGGAGACCAAAACTGCACACAATATTCTAGATGTGGTCTCACCAAGGCCCTATACAGTTGCAATAAGACTTCCCTACTCTTGTATTCTAACCCTTTCGCAATAAACCCAGCATGCCATTAGCCTTCCTAGTTGCTTGCTGTACCTGCATACTAACTTTTTGTGATTGGTGTACAAGGACACCCAAATCCCTCTGAACACTATCACTATCTAGTCTTTCCTCCCTCTAGAAAATAGTCTGCTTTTCTGTTTTTACTACCTAGGTGGATAACTTCACACTTCCCCACATTATATTCCATCTGCCACCTTCTTGCCCACTCACCTAGCCAATCTATATCCTTTTGCTATCTTTTTGTGTCATCCTCAGAGCTTACTTTCGCACCTAGCTTAGTATCATCTGCGAATTTAGATATTTTAAGTTCTATGTCCTTGTGTAGATCATTGATATAGATTGTAAATAGTTGAGGCCCAAGCACGGATTCCTGTGGCACTCCACTAGTCACATCACGCCAATCTAAGAAGGACCCGTTTATCCCTACTTCTGTTTTTTTCCTTGTAAGCCACTCTTCGATCCATGCTAATATATTGCCTTTAATTCCATGGGCCCTAATCTTGTGTAGCAACCTTTTATTTGGCACCTTATCGAATACCTTCTGAAAATCTAAATATACTACATCTACTGCTAGTTATTTATCTAACCTGCTAGTTAGATCCTCAAACAACTCTAAAAGATTTGTTAAGCATGACTTCCCTTTTGTAAAACTTAACTCTTAATTCTGCCTAATCATGTTATGGTCTTCTAAGTACCCCACTATGATGTCCCTGATTAAGAATTCTAGAATTTTCCCTACCACCGATGTCAGACTGACTGGTCTATAGTTCCCCATCCTTTATCTCCCACCCTTCTTAAATAGTGGTGCTACGTTTGCGATCTTCCAATCATTGGGAACCATTCCAGAATCCAGAGAATTTTGGAAGATCAAAAACAAAGCTTCCATCATCTCTGCAGCCGCCTCTTTTGAAACCCTAGGATGCAGGCCAATGCAGATACTTAATGTTGGTCATTGTAACTGTGACTATTTGGAACATAGGGAAATCTTTCTACCAATTTTAGATCAGAATTTTTATTAAACTTCTTTACCTTGCTCCTTACCCTGGATACCTACTTCAAATATTCACTCATCTCCCTTTAAATACATCCCAGTAGAGCTTTATGGGGTATGCATAGCATATTCACCACCCTCAGGATTTCCAGCCGCCTTACCTCGGATTGTCACCCTCGGTTTTCATTCTGTACCAAGAAGTCATCCCCCAGAGTGTATAGCTTAGCTTGTAAGTTCCATTCATTCTCTTAAAACCAGAGTACCTCTTAAATCAACCTCAGTTCTGAAGAATCTAACCCCAGATTAATTAAATCAAAATGTACATCAATGCAATAAGCTGCCTTTACAATCATTTTAGCCATTCTGTAAAGTACACAACTCAGACTACAGTGAGCACTGAAATTTACTTTGATCTTCCAAGATGCTTTGCATTTATAACAAGCAGTTAACTCTGAAGATAATAATAATCTCTATCTGAAGACCAACTGCCGGGTGATAACAGAATCTATGCCTTATCAGATAGATGAAAGGCAATTGATACCTGGATTATTTGAACCTTATAAAATGCAGTTTAACGCATTTGATTCAGTACATTGACACTGATTTGCTGTATGCGTTAAACCGGAATTTTGGCAGAACTGGGAACAAAATATCTTTGGTCAAACACAAATCTTACATTTCAAAGCTTCTTGCTCAAGAAAATGCACTTTTGGAAGATGCAGTCTTTTAGTATGTCAACAGGATTCTTTTTTCAAAGCTATAAATGGTAGAATTGTATCCACTTCCAACTGACCACAAAAGTGGTGTGACAGTTTTACCCTCTAATGCATTAGCAATCCACATTGTAATATCGAATAGACTTTTGCAATATCCTCATTAGGAATCAAATTCTCTGGTATGGTAGATGCATGATACAAAAAAAGCAGCATTCAAATATTTTGGCTGATGTTCGATCAGGCAGTATTAAAACAGCTAGGATGTGCTGGCCACACCATTTGATGTGTCATACCAGCCAAATTCCTGTTAGTAAAGTTAGGCCAGTATGAGCATATATAGCTTGCATAATAAAATTGGACATGGCTACAAAATGTGTTTGCCAAATATTGTAGACAGGCTGTCACCACTTGGACAATTTTGTAGTCACTGGACAATGAGCAACAAAAGTGGACAGCCACTTACTGAATTGGAATTCCCTATTTTAAATCAGTGGAAATCATTCCAGCTCCACAACTTATTTAAAGAAAGCCCAGTTGCCCAGTAATGACACCTGCCCAATTTGTGAATGAAATGGCTTTTCTTGGACCAAATAAATGTTTTTCTTTCTCAACTCATGAACTATTTAAGCAGGTAAGAGTTACAATTTCAGGTTGCTGAGGTTTTTGGGCAAACGTGATGCAGATCTATCATCTCTGCAAGTCCATTAAAATTCTCTCTTCTATTCAAGCAAATTTAAGAACCAATTCTAGTCAGTACTTAAACAATTAAGTAAATATCTCCAAGATGCTTACCCGCATGAAGGGCATGATATAAAATGCAAATTGTTGTAAGAATCATTGGCCCAAAATTAAGGCAGTACAGTATTTTCGTAGGAGGAGGAACTACCTCCTCAGGAAGCATTTGAAACTTCAATGGCTGAACATGCAATTCAAACCATGAATCTTGGACTAGTCCATTTTGAAGAAGTCCTGTAGCTCAGTGGTTAGATCACTTGTCTCGCAAGCGAGAGACCTGGTTCGATTCCTGGCAGGGCGAAACCACGGGCAAGTTTCCTTGCTCCACACCCCTGATAATAATCCCTCAAGGAAGGAAAACACTCAATCACTCAATCCACGACTGTGACACAGGGTTAAATTTACAGTCAATTCACCTCCCCACCACACACCCCGCCACCGCACCCCCCCCACCACACACCCCGCCACCACACCCCCGCCACCGCACCCCGCCACCGCACCCCGCCACCACACCCCCCCCGCCCCGAGTCGCCGTACCCACACAGTCGCCACCCCTCCCCCACGCGCGCACACAGTCTCTGCGTTACCCCCAGAAACGCACAGTCACACCCCACCCACACATCCACAATTCACCCCCCCCATCGCGCGGTCACCTGCGCGCACACAGTCTCCCCCCCACCCCCACTTTGTGCAATAAACCAAACTAAGACTTTACCAATATCTGGTAAAGCTGGCAATTGATAGCTGCCCAAAAATGCACTTGCCTATTTTAAGCAAAGGTGGGGGTGTGTGGGCTTTATTGTCAATTATTTGATAGCAAACTACTAAACCCGCCGCCTCTTGTCCCAGTGTGGGGATCTTGGCTGCTGCCCCCGACCTGAACCTCCCTCAAAATGCCCCCCTCCCTGCAACTCTCCCGCTTTGTCCTGATCTCTCTCTGCCCTCCCCGCCTCCAATCTCTGCTTGACCCACCCACTGCCTCCCTCTGCTCCAGCCTGGGAATCCTTTACTGGGCTCATCGCGGCACTCAGCGCTGGCTGTCCTGCAGCAGCCACACCGACTGCCCCATTCCCCACCACTGCCGCAAGCCAACCCGGACCCCGAGTCTAACCTCTCCTCCCTCATCTGCATCCCCTTCTATACATCTCCCTGCCAACTGTCCACTCCGCATTGGACTTCAAAATGTCCACTCCATCAAGACCCTGGCCATCAATGAACTCATCCTTGATAAGAACATTGACATCATGGCACAGAAACCTGGATCACCCCAAGTGACACCTTCCCCCTCACTGAGGCCATACCACCCGGCTACACTTACCACTACACCCCACGCCCTAACTTTCATGGCGGTGGTGTGGCCCTCATATCCAGGGCATCACTTGCCCCCTACTCCTACGGCTCATTCGCCTCCTTCGAACACCTTACCCTCTCCCCTCTCTCTCGCTCTGAAAATTCTCTTACTCTGCCGCACCCTAAAATCCTCTCCCACCTTCATCTCTGACATCTCCAATCTCTTTGCTTCCCTCTGCCTCTGCTCCGATCACCTCATCATCCTAGACGACTTCAACCTCAACTGCACCCCCTCCTGCTCCATCTCCTCAGACTTCTCTCCTCTCTCAACCTATCCCTCCACATCCA